TTATAAGCCAACTACGCCAGTCTATCAATCTGATAGGGCTAATTATTGTGTGGCTGACAGAATCTGTTCTATAGGTCATGTAATAAATATAACTTAATCTAGAATAGTAATCGCAGTCATAATAATCATAGAGAGCCGGTGGTTTTACATTTGATGGTGTAATAATGTAAACCTAAAACCAAAATAAAAGTCTGTTCTAAAGAGCTTTTCAGACTGTGAGTTAAAAATCTGTCAAATATTAATCGACACAGCCTTAAACTTAAGAACCTACTTAAAAAATAATTTTTAAATAAATAAATCAGAAAAAGGCGCTGAAAAAACATCCGTGCATGCATTAACTGCAGATAATTTTATTTATACATAAATAAAATTATCTCTTTCTTCTTTTATAATTTTTTTTGACGTCAGGCAGGCGGCCGGTCGTAAAACTTTTGCCAAATCCTATCAGCAGTACACTGAAGATGTACTGCGCCGACCCCAAGTGATTTGGGAAATGGGCAGGGAGAAGAAGAAGAATTTTATTTATACATAATTTATATATATTACTTAATTATTTATTATTTATATTAGTATTTGTTATCAATATTACTTGTATCGTAGTACAATTTCTGTCGGTTTGTGTACGAGGTCAGCCGCCGTCGCCCTGTCTCGCTGGTAAATGGCACATCTTGCGTCAAGACATTTAGAGAGTGAGAACTGATAACATATTACATCGTTATTTATGATTTAGGTTACTATCTGTGACCTATTGTGCATATAAGGATCTGTTGCAATCATTTCTAATATTTCATAACAAATCAAATATTTAGATTAAAAATAATTTGTTTTAAATAAACTCGAATTTATTATTTGGTAACTCTCCCCATTATATATATTTTTTCCATTAATACCTCCACGACCGCGGACACGCCGGCGTGTCAGCTAACAATAAATTTCTTAGAAATTTAGTTCATTTCTTAGAAATTTACCTGGAGGTGTGTTACTAATTACTGTACTGGATATAAAAATTTTAAAAGTACAAATTGGGACGTCGGGAATAAAAATCTATACTAATATTATAAATATAAAAGTTTGTGAACTGGGCTGAACGGATCTGGTAGTTTGGTATAGATATAGATTATAGTCTGGAATAGCACAAAGGCTACTTTCTTACGGAAAACTTTATTACAGAAAAATGTACGGTTCCCGTGGGATAGATTTGTTTTTGTTTTGAGACGAACCAGAAGAAAAGCGAAGGTGAGTCACTAGTATAAAATAAAACCACGACAATATCCTAAAAATTAGTTTCATATCAAATTTTCATAATATTATTTTATTAAAGTTAATTATGAGGACGTTTTCATTTACCAATTTTTAAAGTATATAGCGTTTTTGCATGTCCATATATTTATTTTTACTTTCTCATCACATACCTAATATGTGTCCTATATGAAAACAATTATCATAATTTTACATATCATAGAAATAACATCACACGTATAAATGTTTTATAGGCCATAATAAAGGTAGTAAGTGGTGCTTACTTGAAAAATTATTGATATATCAATGAAACGGCACTAGCATGTTATATTTACCATATAAAATATGCCGTGATGTCCATTAATATACCATATATTCCATTATAAAAATAAATATCTAAGTAATTTTTAAAGAAAAAAGTATGGCTTGCGATTTGGTTTGCTTGTCGATACAAATAGCCGTTCAATAAAACATGATTACGCTCGTATTATCTGTACATAGAATCTGTGCTTTTATTATTCTTTAGAAAATCTTATTGAAATAATCATTATTATCGATACAGAGGCCGAATCTATAGTTTTTAGATTTTTTGTCTGTCTGTCTGGAAACGTATCACAAAAAAACCACTGAATGGATTTTGATGAAGTTTGGTATGGTGGTAGCTGGTTGTTCGGGTCAACATTTAGGATACTTTTTAGTGCGGGAAAATATCTCATCTCTGAGATATCTTGGTATACTAATCGTTTAGATATACTTAAAATCGAGAGGAACCCGAGCGGGGCAAGGGTGAGTCGTTAGTGAACTATAATTTATATGTATATGATATCCGAATAAATAATAATTAAAACCGTTATAATTTTGTAAATGAGAAAAATTATTTATAAATACAAAATTATATTGACTATCGATATAAATATGTTAAGACATTACACACAGAACCATCCAGTTCCATGGTAAGCTACGAGGCTTGTGTTATGGATACCAGATAGTTGATACACTACACATATATAACTTTAAATACATACATATTATAAATAAAACACCCATGACTGGAGTACAAACATTCGTGCTCATCACACAAATGAATGCCCCCAGCGGGACTCGAACCCGCGACATCTGGCATGGCAGGTAGGGTCACTACAAACTGAGCCAAACGTCGTCAAAACGATATTGAAAATAAAATTACATTAAACCTATCGTATACTGTATATATGGCCACCATATAAGTATTTTTTTAACAATTTTCTAACTTACGTCTATATATTTATTCGATGTAATATTTTCCAATACGACCTCGCAATTAAATATGGAATGAAAGATCTGCCCATTACTTATGATATAGTGCTGACGAGTCCCAACTCCCACATCGTGACGCTAAAATGACTAGGTTTAAATAATTGTCATTTTAACTTTCTCATATAATTAATACTCATATTGTAAGTTATTGCATCGTCTTTTCATACAATAAAATTGTAACTAAGCTGGATCTGTACATAAATTATTATTTATTTGAAATAAACATTATTATCGATACAGAGGCCGAATATATAGTTTTTAGAATTTTTGTCTTTCGGTCTGTCTGTCTGTGACCGCATCACGGAAAAATCATTGGAGGGATTTTTTTTAAATTTGGTATGATGATAGCTGGTTATCCGGGTCGACATATAGAATACTTTGTACTGCGAGAAAATATGTCATCTCTGAGAAAACTATACTAAACGTAATAAACAGTTTATAAAATATTGGTATTTGCTAGCGGGTGTGCTCAGACGATCACGATGATGCTGATGATAATTGAATGTCACATAACCTTACCCTCTCACTCCAATAAGCTCTACCTACCTACCTTCATGTGGAAATACCAATAAAAATTATTTAGCCGCTGTTTGTTTATCCCCAACCTTTTCTTTTCCAGGAGTCTCTATGTCTAATCTTCATCTTCAGAATTATTTGTCGTTATAATCACAGACACAAAGCGATTCGATTTTATGTATAAATATGTATTTATATAACACAACTACGCCTAAATAGTATAATATATCTGTCACAAAAGAATTTTTTTAAAGGTAGGAATTGTGCATTGAAACACAATATAGATATATTTACGTTAAAATATTAAAATAATATGTTCATTGCCAAATAGTCAAAATTAACCGATAAATTAAAATATTACCGCAATTGTCTTCAGGAAATAGGATACTAACAGTTCACAATAAATTTTGAATACCCTTTGTTATGTTTAACCTACAGTATCTTTGTTGTATTAAACATATTAAGTTTCTGTTCAGAAAACTGATCGTTACGAGAAAAAAATGTACTAAAAACTGTCTGTGATGATACTGGATATTGTGCTGGCAACCGTAAATTCGGTTCGAATACGTTATAGTTGTGTACATAATTTACATATATGATTTTCAGATGCCTCTTGTTCATCTTCTTCCTTTTTTTGTCTTCTTCTTTTTCTTTGCATGGCTTTTACAGATAGGCAATTATTGCACGTTGTTTGCGAGCTTGCTTTAGAAGTTTAGATGCCTCATCATCCGACTAATTAAAACGCGAAAGTTTTTAAGGATGTATGGATATATGTATGTTTATTACTCTTTCGCGTAAAAACTACTGAACGGATTCTGATAAAAGTTTACCGTAATATAACTTTAAATGCAATCAGAACAACATATAAGCTATAATAAAGATACAGTAAAACTTTTAAGCACGATGTGGGCGAAGCTGCGAGAAACTAGCCATTGCTCCCATTAAAAGCTTTCTTTTGCAAGAAAAAATGGTAAACCAAGAAATCTTTTTATACAGAAATTATTTAATTAAATAAAAATATAATAGTATAATAATTTGTTAAGGAAGTTATTGTGAGTCACTAAAGTTTCTTAACATGTTTTATAGCGTGTAGCTATTAATTTTAAATCCGAAAGTAAACAAGCAATAAATGTTAGGCTGCGTTAGTTACAACACCAGTAGCCAGACAACTAAAATATATTGGACATAGACTTTAACTTAGCTCGAGCCTTTCAAAGGCAATCTTAGGTACACCAATAATTCTTATCGCATTCATATTAATTTTATCAACTCAGTGACTTCTGATAATCGCACTCCGCTCCTTACATTAACGTGGAGATAAAACTCCTGTTAGTACTTAGTTCGGCCACTCGGCTAAATATCGCTGATAACGTGATGCCTGTGAAACTGGATGTTTTGCTCTGAAACCTTCAATTAAATCAGCATTCCTCGTCTACGTGATTGTTTAAATTGCCCTCCCAATTATTATTTACATTAGATTTAAAAAAAATATTTAAAAAAAAATGTGGGCACATTAACATACAGCGCCATCTAGTTCCATGGTAAGCTACGAGGCTTGTGTTATAGATACCAGATAGTTGATATACTACACATATATAACTTTACATACATACATATTATAAATATAAACACCCAAGACTGGAGTGCAAACATTCGTGCTCATCACACAAATGAATGCCCCCAGCGGGACTTGAACCCGCGACCGCTGCCACAGCAAGCAGGATCACTACAAACAGAGCCAAACGTGTCGTTTGTTCAAGCGGTTTGTTTGTAGCCAAGTATTTTATAGTATAACACCTGTAGTAATTAATTGGAGCTGAATTACATGGTTTTCGAATATTTTAGGTGTGACTTTCTGTGTCAATACTGCTCACTTGCATAATTCTAAAGGGCATTTGCACAAAATTACTGATTTGATTCAAATATCTTTAGTTATTAATGTTGAATAAATGTGTTTACTAACCCAGAAAAACGCATGGGTAATGGGTTCGTAATAGAAAAAAATATTTTAGAGTATAATATAACATTTTTAAAGGAATAATATATAAAAACTGTTAGATACGATGTTCTTTCTTAGATTTACGCGAATATTTGACATTTTAAATAAAACTATCCTTTCGGATTTTCGGATTTCCGAGAGACTCTCCCGTGACCATGAATACTGTAAAGCATTCGAAACGTCGGGAACCAAAAATCCAAATAAATCCGCGAAAAAATCCGAAAGGATAGTTTTATTTAAGATACTAAGTTGATAAAGCAATTTGTGCTAATTTTATTTCTAAAATCTTGTATTTGTAAGTTATTCAAAGATGCTTTTATAACCAGGTTACCAGCAAGAGTTCCATTACACGCCGCTATCAAAGCGCACATTTCTAAAGAACATTTAGTTTTATGACAATATTCTCAAGAGGAGAAATGTAATTATAGATACGTTTTGCAATAAAAATAATAATGAACCCACTTATATTTAAGTCCAAATTATCATATTTATATAGCACTTCCCTACTCCGTTGTATTAATATAATTGAAGAATAAATTACAATTTATAAATATTATGATTATATATAACTTCTTCATATCTTAATCGATTTAAATATTTTTAATTTGCATGGAAAACATCAAACTACAGAAAGGTCTCACTAACAAAACAAATGCCCTAGAATAAGGAGATACCCATATCATACAAATAAATAACTTGACTAATTAATGGATTAAAATTATCTCCCTCATTTTGGCACCTGATAAAATAATAATTATAAATGTCAAACCTCCTCCAGGTTAGCCAACTGCGAGAAACATATTATAGTAAACAATTGTGTTAGCAGACATAATCGTTGGCTTACTATTACAAGGTTCTATGTTAATTTTAATGAAGTTTAGTAATTTTTACATAGAACTTCGTTATTTTGTTATCGTAAAAAGAACAACATAGAACTATGTAAAATTGAATATTTTGTAGTTAAAGTGCCGCTATCTAGTGGTTTGTTTTTGCAAAACTGTAGCTATTGACACATAGAATCTTGTAGCATTAATAACTAAATAAGTACTAAAATTGTAACATAGAACCTTGTAATAGTGAGCCAACGAATTATGTGCAGTGCGCACTCTCTTTTCCTGATACTCTCATGTTTTAGTAACAATACAACTCGACACGACGAGAGAGAGACGACCTGTAGGACCGATAGCTTAACAAGCTCTCTTAGGTTCGAGGATGTACATTGTACACACCGCCAACTTTCCAAACTCCTGGCTACTGAGTATTTCGTGACAGAAAAGCCCAGTAACTATTTGGCTGCCCCGGGATTCGAACTTGGGTAGTTTGTTATAAAATCACACGTGCGATATTAAAATCGTTCACAATCATTTAAATAAATAATTTTGTTCCAGGTTGCAATTGTTCGTCGCTAGGCTCAGAGAGCAACGTGTGCGATATACGCACAGGCCAGTGCCGCTGTCGACCGCACGTCACGGGCCGCGCGTGCGACACCTGCGAGGTACTTATAATTTACTCATCTATCGTATATAAAACAAAGCCTGGGGCCACAAATACTCGCGTAAGTGAACCGTTATCGCCCCAGGATGATTCGCGAAGCTATTGAAATTAAAAAATATCCAAACTTCAATAGGGAAGATGGCTGGGTACTACCATCATCTTGGGATCCTGTAATAAACATTATAAAATCTAACAACAAAAACAAATATAACAGACCAGTAGATGTTAGTTCAAACTGTGTGGATCGCAATAATGACAGTAATTCTGATTAATATTTTTTGTCTATAAAGGTAGCGATAGTGTTGCTCAATTTTAACTTTAAATAATAGCAATATAAATTAATATTTAAACTTCTTTTAAATTATATATAAACAATAATATTGCTTAGATAAATAAATAATATTTTTAATTTTTAATATTCTTTATGGTTGATGATGATGATGTTCTCCTGGCCGATTCCGGCTACGGCGGCCAATCTCATTGAGACTAGCCAACTGCGCAGGAGATATTATAGTGCTCAAGTGTACGCGCAGAAATAAGTGCACTCTCTATTCCTGTCACTCTCATACTTCGTTGGGACGACGCGAGACACGACCGGTTAAGGCGCAGCTCAGGACCGACGGCATTACGTGCTCTCCGAGGCACGGGGGTAAAACACCGCCAACTTCCCAACTCCGGGCTGTTACTGAGACTTAATATACAGAAAGACTCAATAACTAAACTTGGCCCAACCCGGGACTCGAACCCAGGACCTCCGAGTGTGCAGCCGTACATGCTAGCCACTACACCACCGAGGCAGTTTAAATTTAATGGTTATACATAATATATAATAGCAACACTAAATAATATTAGTAATTAATAAAGTTTTTCAAAATTGTAGTATTTATAATAATAACAGCTGAAATTAAATAAATAATATTGCTATATTTAATTATAATATTTATTAAATTTTTAAAAATGTTTAGAAATAAAAATCAACAAATATTGTATGGTGCTTTATTGCCATTTTTTGAATTTTTGAAATCATTTTTGTAAAATAGTGGGCAGGCACTGTCTGTAACAAGTATGTGTTTGAGACGTCTATAACCTTAGTCTCTCCCGTGGTCATGATTGCTGTAAAGCATTCGAAACGTCGGGAATCAAAAATCAAAATAAATCCGCGTAATAATCCGAAAACATAGTTTTATTTAAAATGTCAAATATTCACGTAAATCTAAGAAAGTATTATTTATATCTATTTAAAACGTACCTAGAGACAAACTCGAACGGAGTGAGGGTGAGCTGCTAGTAGAATACATAATTGTTATTATAATTAATGCAAAAACTACTAATTTCGCACAGATTTCAGTGCAACTTGTTATATTGTACAGTCTATATCTTAATATACTGCTAAATTACGTTTGAATTGTACGAGAATCAATAGATACTACTAACATGCACTCACTGATATTAAAAGCTAAAACGTCTATACTAACCGGTTTAAAAGTTAGTTTAAACTTATCAGTTGGTCTACGAATAATCTATCTAAACCTTACAAGTAAATTGAATTCAAACAAATCACGAATGAACAAAAGACTTTTAATAGAATAAACAGCGTGTTACCGACGTGAACTAATTTCTCGTACACTATGTTGCATTTGGCGTGCAAAAAGAAATAAAAGTAACCATAAAGTAGAAAAGAAATAAAAGAAACTGACACTAAGTACCGTAACTGATAAAAAGTAACCTCTCTATGTTCCAATTCATACTATAACCTATCTCTGTGCCAAATTTCATCCAGATCCGTTCAGCCGTTCTGGCTTAATTGAGTTACAAACATTCATCCAAACTTTCGTATTTGTAATATTAAAGGGATATTATGAGATTATTGCGCGTATCTATTATGTATATTATTTAGCATAAAAGCATTTCAATCACTCAAAATCTGACTCTACCACAAACTATAAAACAATGTATATACATATTTACATTGTACATATATGTATATTTTAAATACCAGTCGACGCTTGAACTACTGTTACTCTTATAACGTAAGGAAATGCCACAAAGACATTTCTACGGAGGTCTCCACATTTGCATACAGTTGATAGGTTCTGAATGACTGCACTATACTCGCCGCGACTTATATAGGCAGTGGGAAAATTGTTAGGTCTTACAATTGACAACGATTATATTGTCGTAAAGTATGATAAAGCAGTAAATCCTTGAACAAAAATCCTTGATCTTAGAACAAGGAGAAATAAAGTTTCTTTCTAGGATATAAAGGCAAGATCGTTAATAGGATTTTGTGAATAAATGACTAAAAACGGATTATAATTTCGTCATGTCTGTCTGTACATCACAGACATTTTACTCAGATACTAAGTATTTTTTTGTAATCGGCATCAAATTTTTAAAGCAAATAATCAAATTAAAATATATGAACGTATGTATGTATGTATGTATTCAGCCATTTTTAACGACCACTGCTGGGCACGGGCCACCCTTCAATGCGAGGGGGATCAGGCTATAGTCCACCACGCTGTCCAAGTGCGTAGAAAACAAGACTCTCTCTCTCTCTCTCTCTCTCTTTCTCTATCTGTTTATGCAAGGCATTGATAATACAGGCTCAATAATACGTTATTTATATCGAATAATTTAGTAATTTAACGACTTCATAACACATTATAGAAAACGTTAATGATTCTTATAGTAGTACATTTATAAGACGCGTAAACAACAATAAACATTTTATGCGTTATGAATCGATAATTTATAAATGTAAACGTCGCGTTGCGAAAATATATAGCTTATGAGCAATAAAATTGGGTCGCAATCATATATCTATGAATGAATGAAATGATATCTGTTAATATAAAATAACGAGATATTTATCGATATTACTTTAAGGTAAAATACATTTTCTAGTGTAGGTGTACGTATGTATGTATGTGTTAAAATATCATATTAGATACTTTCTTGATAGGGCGCTATATTGAGTAGGCATGGAACATTTCACGAGTAGCAAGTGAAAAATCACATGAAATGCGTTATCATACGTCACACCTGCTACTTAAATTCACAGTGAATGCTACAAATCACCATAAACTTTATAGTCGATTTTTGCCTCTTCGGCTTGTGCAAATCGGCAGATTATTGAATTGGACACTTTTCAGGATGTGACTAGCCTACCACACCTTAATCTGACGGTTTCAAGTATTTCTACCTTATCAAAACATTTTTTAAATATTTTAATCGGCTTCCCTAGACGCGCCCCTTTATATAGAAGACTTATATTATGGTGAAAGTACTCAATAGAGTGCAAGGTAACCACTTTTATGTTAATCTGCCGCGCTCGAGTAACTACAGAAAATCCCCTCTTGGGCTCCCCTACTAATACTTCATTTTAATAGCAAATAATATAAAGTGTGACACCAGACCGTCGAAATAAAAAATCATTGCCTGTGAGAAGTAGCAGGTGAAATCACGTAAAAATATACGTAATTTTATCATATGATAATGATTTAAAAGTAGCAATCATTTCCATGCTTAATATTGAGCACTATATTGAAGGGTATGATGACGCAATCATAATCAAAATTATTTTCCATTTGGTACATCAAGAGGTGAGTTACTTGGTGCCTTTACCTGTTCATACTTTTTACTAGGTGTTTGCCTATTATTTATTTACTTATTGGTAGTCTAGAGGTAGGAACAGTTGCATCGGAGGTCCTGGGTTCGAGTCCTGGGTCGGACTTAGTTTAATTATTGAGTTTTTCTGTCAAGATATTCTAGGTAGCACCCAGATTTCGTAAGTTGGCGGTTTTTCACCCTCCCGGCTCGGAAAGAATCAGCTGTCTGTCCTGCGCCGGATTCTCACTGGTCATATCAAAGTGTTGTCCCAATGTAATTTGAGAGTGAAAAAAATAGAGGATGCATTTGTGTTTGCGCATAATATACTTACTTATGCACTATAATATCTCTTGGGCAGTTGGCGAGTCTCAGTGAGATTAGCCGCCATAGCCGAATTTTCTCAGAGGGACATTACTGTTAATTTAACTAACTATTTAAAATTTATGTATTTTCCTACTTCAGTTACTACAGTTAGACAAATACTTTAAATATATTCAGTTCCATATACAGCTTTAGTGTTATCCTAGGAAGGCTATTGGGGGTTGGAGCAGGGTGGCTGTAGACGTTGCGAGTGCGACGCAGGCACCGCCGCGTGTGACCCAGTCAATGGGACCTGTGCCTGCTCAGTCGGAGTCGGTGGGAGGAGGTGTGACCGATGTCTCCCTGGGTTCTACGGGTTTGGACCTAATGGATGCTTGCGTAAGTCAAATACAATATTTAAGAACAGATAATTTTAGATGATTTATTCGTGCAAATTGAGTTCAATAATTAAAAAAAATCGATTAAGAGTAATTGAAAATAATCTACTGATTTGAGTCCAAATTGTACAAACTATCAATCTACGAGGTTTATATTTGCTAAGTACGTGGAAAATGTTAATTTTAAACTAGATTTGTTTATATTTTATAGTGTACTAACAAGATACAATAAGAAGTTTTATTTTTATGTGTTATGTTATTTTCATTCCACGTTCCACTGTTACGATAATTATTTCTAAACTAGTTTCAATAGAGCTATAATGTTTTCAGCGTGCCCCGTTTGCACTGATGGACGAGTATGTTCACCGATAACTGGTAGATGTGTGTGCCCCGCTAGGACTCGTGGACCGGGATGTCAACACTGTGCGAGAGGATACTGGGGTCGGTCTCTTGGATGTAGGTCGTGTTCTTGTGGACCTGGAGCAGTATCTGGTTAGTAAATATATAATACCTATGGCAAAAGATATCATTCTCTTATAATTTTCATATATTTGGCACATAAGTTATCAGAAAACTAATAGCATTTACATAATTATATATCTTTGTTACCAATTGTATTCAAATTCGCATTCATATTTCAAAAAAATATTTTCAATACATTTAAAATCAGTATATTATCCCAGACAGCTGTGACGCGACGAGTGGACAATGCCAGTGCAGGCACGGATGGACCGGGCGGGACTGTAGCGATTGTGCGAGCGGGTTCTTTGGACCAAAGTGCAGACCTTGTGGGTGCTCCATCGCCGGGACTAAGGGTTGTGAGAAAGGCGTGTGTGCCTGTGATCAGAGAGGACAGTGTCCTTGCAAGGTAAGTTAATAGATATCTTAGTGATATCATTCTTGGTAATAATTGATGTATAAGTTGTGATATGTTTGTGGTATAAATCATATTTATAATATAGTATCAATATTAACACCATCTTAACGTCACGTCACGTGTAACGTCATTGTTGAGTTGATTTAAAACTTTTTTTTGAGTAATCAAATACGGATGACAATACAGTAATTTGATATCAGGGAACTGACTTGATAATAAAGCCCGGCATAGTTATAGTAGAATTATCAAATTTTCGAGTTAGGGCAAATTGAATTTGTTTTCACATATCTCATAGATTTTACCCGATAAATAACGTACCTATTAGTGGTCCATTTAAAACTATATTTATGTACTAGATTCAAAGACTGAATGTAACTAACTTGCTCATTTTAATTTACAGGAAAACGTTGTGGGAGAAAAATGTGATACCTGTCTCGATGGTACCTTCGGCTTATCCGAGATAAACCCGGTGGGCTGCACCGCGTGCTTCTGCTTTGGACGCAGCGCGAAGTGCACTCAGGCTGCTGTCACACGAGCTGCGCTGCACGCTGCCACGCCATTGCATTTGAAATTATTAAAAGGAGATAATACCATCAAGGTTAGAATGATATCATACCTACATGGTATACATAAGTATGTGGACTTAAGTTATTCAGCCCAAATAGACCAATTTTTGTGTATTAGTTATACCAATGTTTAATTGGAAGGCCTGGATCCCGAGTCCTAAATTTCGGGTCTTATTGAGTTTTTCCATCAAGAAGTTAGGAAATTGGCAATATAACATGTCTCGGAGAGTACGTCAAGTTGCGCCTGATCTCTCATTGCGAGTGTCGAAGTGTCATCCCACCGGAGTTTGAAAAGAATACAGTGTGCACTTACGTTTACGCGCATACTTTTGCACTAATTTTAATTTATTATTAAAAATATATATTTTATTTCATGTCGATATTTGTTTGTTTGATTGGAAAACTGGCTTTTGAAACTATCTCCATGTTACTTAATTCGATCATTTTTATTTACGTTATTGTTTTAGACGGAACAAGAATTCTATGCTATCCGCACCAGTATCCAAGAAGGCACGATTCTTGTGCCTTGGCCTCCAGTACCAATTTATGCTGAACTTGGGGAACTGTTCCTTGGCGACCATGTGCTGTCCTATGGAGGCGCCCTTAGGTTTACGGTGGAAGAAGAGGGCGGAGAACCGCTTCCTCAGCACGTGATGAGTAGGTTCCCTCTCGTCAGTATTCACGGGAATAATATTGTGCTGGATTATTATGAGGTACGTGTTTTGTATTATTGTTAATTTATCTTATATTATTTTATTGTAATTCGGACCAAATCTTACGTATTGCAATTTTATGAGTAATGTTTTCCAAAATGAAAAGAAATCAATTCTCTTACGATTTAGACGTATTATTGGCCATATTGTTATTTTTTACGGTTTGGTTAAAACCATTCGTAGCTTTGCGTTTGGTAACTATTATTATCGCATAGAATATACAAAATACTTAGTTGTATGAAGAAAACAAACAGACTAACAGTGTGACAATAGTAATTTTGATTACTGCTAAACTAAATGTTTATTTTGCATTCGCAGCGCATCCCAGCGGTGAACGGTTCGCACGCGGTGTACCTGCACGAGTCGCTGTGGGAGGTGCGCGGGCGCGGGCGCGGGCGCGCGGGCGCGGCGCGCGCCGAGCTCATGCTGGCGCTGCTGGACGTGCGGCGCCTGCTGCTGCGCCTGTCCACGCGCGCGCCCGCCGGCGAGCCCATGCATGTGCTGTGAGTGTTCCGAAACGGAAAACTAAATGAAACTTATAGTATTCATATGTACCTAATCAAATATTTTTTAAGTTGGTCGAGCACCGATAAATTTTTAGTGTTTTTTTGAAATCAGTTTTATCTAATGACATTGTGCCTACATCATTTATTTATTTTTATTTGTATTGTCTTAATTTAAATGGTAATTATTCTTAACAAAATATATGCATCCTATTTTAAATTTTTAACAGTAAGTATACAGGGATTGCATTATGTCGATAAATAATATATTAATGTGTGGGATAAATTTTTATTTGCATCTCACGTAGGATAAATAGATATACACATATTATACTGCAATATTGTAAACAAATACTAGTTTTAAAAGAGCAGCTGTTGGGACGTTTTAACAAAAATATCTTTTGATTGTGTGGTCATTTTCTCTGGGACTTATTTAATTCAAATTTAAAAAATAGGGGGAAAACGTGTGTGTGTACTTATGTACGCACGTAAGAAGTTATACTTCTTTAGCGTAATAGAACAAAAGATATATAAAGATTTTATCCCGTATGTCACAACTCTTTATTAGTAAATGGATTGCTTCATCATGTCGCTTTTTGGCTGTCGGTGTGCGCGCGCATCGTAAAAATTTTACTCTCATATTTTTTTCCAAACGTGCCAAAAGAAGTATAACCTTTAAAAATACATTAAAAGTGTTTGTAAAAGTGTATTTGAATTAGGCATGTTTTGATATAATTTGATTTTTGATAGTTGTATTATGTTGACTGATGCATGATGGTATAAGTCATTTAAAAAAACTCCCATGTCTATCATGTGTCACTTTCACGTCCGTATATACTTCACGGTCTTTTTCTCTGAGCGGACTGAATGAAAAAAATATTTTTGACATGTCATATGTCAAAAATATTTTTTATTTTTTTGAAATATTTTAAATATTATTTTATATACACACATTTAATTAAAATGCTACTGGTCTGGAAATATGAAAAAAAAAAACTTTTAATATTATTCCCTTTTTCCTAGATTACTAAACGTGACCTTAGAAACAGCCATAGCGGGTCTGTCTCGCGGCGCTCCTGCCCTCGGGGTAGAGCGTTGTCTCTGTCCCCGCGGCTACGACGCGCCGTCCTGCCACCGCCCCGCTGCAGGCTTCTGGATACCACCTTCTCCTCCGAGGGTCCACCACGTGGCGGGGACTATTGTGATTGACGTGGAGAAGTCCAGGCCGTGCGAGTGCAATGGCAGGGCTGAAATTTGTCATCCGCAGACTGGACATTGTTTGGTAGGAATTTTTATGTCACTGTTTATTTTGAATAGAGTTTCTTTATCTTTTGATGTCTAATATCTAGTACCTTTTTAAAAATTAATAAAAGATAAATTAAATAGTGTTAATATAGCGCGAATAAGCCTGTAATGATATAAAAAAAAGATCTAGACAAGAAGGAAGGAATTAACAATTGTTTTATTATAGTATAAATTTTGACGATTTTTCTAAAGTAAATGTTATGTTATAAGTTACACAGGTTTTGCTTTCGTATGTCTGCATCTTTGCGAAAGTTTGTATAGATATGTATGATTTGTTCACATTTGTATGTTTGTTTACGCTGAAACAGCCCGTCAGATTTGGATGAGTACACAGCTATGATCTGGAGTAACATATAGGCTGAGCTGTTATTATAATAGGCTTTTATTCATCTACGTCTATTAATAAGAGCTTTAAGATGATGTAATAGTATTGATAAGAGCGACGTCGTCAACAGAACTGCACGCAGCACACGGCGGGCCCGCGCTGCGAGCGCTGCGCGGAGGGCTACTACGGCGCGGCGGGCGCGTGCCGCGCCTGCCCCTGCCCCGCCGCCGCCTGCGCCGAGCTGCACGGCCGCCTGCAGTGCTTCTGCAAGCCGGGTTGGTGCTTTCTTGTCAGATTATGTTACATGTTTGGAAGTTTGTATCTCGGATTCTTGTTTACATGTTAAATAACGTGTGCGATATACCTACATATATTAGAATTGATATTTTACATAAAAAGTTTTATTTCGCTTTTTGGTTTCAGGCGTATTGAATGTTGTTAACATCAAAAAAAATCAGTTATGAATTTTAACTTCTACCATGACTATGCAACAAAAACAGCGAACAGATTTTGATTAAATTTTAAAAATTATTTTTTACTTAAATTGATTGTTGTGGTTGTTTGCCTTTCAAATTAAACTACCTTTTTGAAGTTTTTCGCGTATTTATTTCAGTGTTTGTTAAAAACAGCACACATATTCCGTGATCACAATTGCTGTAAAGCATTCGAAACGTCGGGAACCAAGCATCAAAATAAATCCGCCAAAAAAAGTCGAAAACATAGTTTTATTTAAAATATCAAAATAATTCGCGGGAATGTAAAAAAAGTATTAAATGGCCTTTCGTAAAAATATATAAGAAATATTAAAGAACCAACATTTGTTTCAGGCTACACGGGCGCGCGCTGCACGGCGTGCGCGGCGGGCTGGCGGCGCGCGGGCGGCGCGTGCGAGCCGTGCGGCTGCGACGCGCGCGGCGCGCTGGCGCCGCACTGCGCGCCGCGCTGCGCCTGCAAGCCGCACGCCGCCGGCGACCGCTGCCAGCTCTGCGTGCTGCCGCGACACTATCTAGACGATGATGGCTGTAAACGTAAGCTATCGTTACTTTAAGCCTTAAGTTTCATTGTCTTTGTTTTTTATTTTCAATATGTAAATAATGTTTAATTTTAAAACATGACCCCGTTTTGAGTAAGCTACCATACACAATAGTAATATCATCTAACTACTTTAAACAGTTATCTAAATAAATCATCTACAAGGCAATCGATCGTGTGAGAGGAACCGCGGATAATATGCATCCGACTGCCATATTTAGTTTAATAAACAATTGGGAAACAGCTTTAAGGGTTGACGGGTAACTATAACTTGCCACGAGATGACATTACAGCACTATAACATCGAAACCAAGAAAATCGGCATTTTTGACAACCATATTATTACATTTAATAGCAATTCCATCAAATTCAAAGACCTACTAGATATAGATCTGTATTCTGCTATACTCGTATTAGTACAGAAGAAAATTCACGTAACAAAGTATTTTTTTAAACTTACAAACACGTTTCACTGATATAAATAACTCATGTTACAGCTTGCGACAACTGCACTCAAACACTACTAGACTCAATCGAAGGACTAACAGCCAAAATGCACTCAAAAGCAGATCTGACCGAGCTAAGTCGAATACCACAGCCTTTCCCAGCGTTACGAGAATTCGCAGAAAATGCAACAAAATTACATTCTACTCTCGAACACGTAAAGAAAAACACCCAAAAGATCGAGTATCTGGAACCTTCTATAGCTAGATTAGAAGAAACTGAACATGAATTATTTACTAAAGCAAATAAACTTAAAACAGAAGCTTCTAGAAGAGAAAACGAAGCTCAGTCATTAAGCTTAGAAAGTATGACGGGTCTAGAAGAAATTTTGAAGCAGAAAAGTATTTTACGAGCTGAAGTTGCCAAATTAGATGAATTTGCGAGGGGTGAGAAACATCTCAGCGCACATCGAGCGTTGAAGGAAGCGAGGCATTTATTAAAAGAAATCAAAGAGATAAACCTTGTTGATTATATCACTGGCGTGACCGATGTATCTGATTCGGTGAGCTTATTATTAAAAATTTCTGGCTTAAAAATTTTGTGTTGTAATTTTTATGTATGTATTTAGAATTGAGTAAAGGAATTTGATCGACTTCTTTCGTCTTTTGCAAATTTAAATTAATTCAAATCAGTAAACATTTAGTTAAAATAATTTAAGTCACACGAAAATCCACTCAAATGTTTTTGAAATAATTTTGAATAGACCACTCTATCTCATTACTATAAACACTTGCATGGAACATCATTGTAACTCAGCATTGAATGATTCACAAATTAAATAAAAACGTGTGTGTGTACTTGTGTACGCACGTATTATATAGTTATACTTCTTTGGCGTAACAGAACAAAAATGGCTAAAGATTTCATCACGTATGTCACAACTCTGTAAAAGGAATGTAGTTACCTTCATAATGTCGCTTTCAGCTAATTTCATCGTGTCGCTTTTTGGCTGTCTCATAATTTTATCCAAACGTGCCAAACGTATGACTTCAAAAATTATAATACTAAATAACAATATTGCTCGTGGCATGAATTTAAAAATAAGAAACATGAATTGCAGGCAAATTTTCTATCAACATCAGTCCACGAATACAAATACCGTATAGACGATGCTATAAAGCGTCTTACCAAGCTGGAGTCTGACCTGGAGGAGTGGGAGCGGAAGGCGGAGGAGCTCCCGCGCCTCGCGCAGCGCGTGTGGACCGCGAGCGATGTTGTCGCTGAAGTCAAGAAGGCAGTTACACCTAAACTGGGTAACGTTAGAGACTTTGATCTACGATGTCGATTAGTTTTAGAGGTGAGTGTTTTTTGATCTGTGGTAAATTACTGGTAGTGAAAGAAACATTTTGTTTTTATTTTTATTTTACATATTAATTTAGGATTACATTGTAAATAATATTTACATTGGCTTAGAATACTGTTAAAAATAATTACTCCATTCTTTATATCCATTAAAGTAATACACTAATATAAACGTCATTTTTGGATAAAGTTTTAACGGTTTTGTTATTATTAAAAAGTACGAAAGCTGTATATAATTTATAATCCATACTAATATTATAAATATGAATATATATATATATATATATATATATATATATATATATATATATAGGGGAAGGTGGGGGGACACCGGATAGTTAAGAAGAAGATACAATAAATAAATCACTATGTTATTTATTGAGATAATCAATATTATAAACGTTTAAGTATACCTTAGGCATAACTTTGGTATGAAAATGTTTGAGATCAATGTTAATAACTATAAAATAGAACAATTTTAATTAAAAATTATAAATCCGAATTCACCCCATACCTATGGGTCAAACCGGATAGGTATTTTATATTCTAGGGGTGAATACAGATATTAACAATAAAACTAAATATTCAAATTATTCGCAGTTTTTGCATACAAAAAATATTAATTCTTGCTCAGAACAACCGATGCAACTTCGTGAGCACACTTAAGTCAAGCAGTGCATTGGTACCATTCATTTGAGGACTTAGTTTGACTGTACTTTTCTCCTCAAACCAAAGACTCCGAATCCCCCTGATAGTTTTTTATTCGTCTTTTTACCGATTCAAAAATATCTGATTAGGTATCTATGCTTAATGAAAACCATCGTTTAGTTATTTTTTACATTTTAGTGCTTGGAAGTCGGTTTTTTAAGATTGTATTGTGGTACAGAGGTCAAACCAGTCTCGTCCATTTAATAAATTTGCGTGGGATTGAAAGCGTGCTTAGCATAATAAACATTAAAAAATGATGACACTACAGCTCTATTAAAGCCCATTGCTCTTGCAGCTGACGTTGCTTCAGGTGATCTTAATGATAATTCAGAATGTCGTTTAAGAAATCCACTAACCCAATCTAAGCCAGCCAGTTCAGTTTCTCTATTAAAAGGATGCTTTAAATTATTTCTTTCAGCTAATTGGAATGCCAAACGTCGCAGATCTGTTTTAGTCAATCCAAATAGTAGAGATTCCATCGTTTTGATATGATCGACTAGCATACTTTCCAGCTCATCAGTGAAAACGCATTTTGCAGTAACGGGGTACTTTCTAAACACTTCGTCTTTGGATTTTTCACACTTGATCTTCTTTACAATCTTCTAAGGAAGTTTTGGGTACACTTTATGTAACGCTAAAATATTTCCCATTCTACCTTCTATCACCGAATTTAGGGCTAAAAGCATGTCTGACTCCGACCATTGCAACTTATCTGACTTTTTCACTTATGTTCGTGGCATGTTGTCGCTCGCACTCTGTAAAAAATAAATAGTAATTAAAATAAGGATTTAAAACAAACACCCACAATACCTACATATAAAATCGATCGGGGTGAAACCGGGTAGCCGAATTCACCCCGTCCGCTTGTACCCCACAAGTACCATGTTTGAAATTGTAATAACTAACAGGTTATGTTTACAATCACAGCAACAACCAATACCGTTTTAAAAGGTTAAATATGTATTACTTCTTAAAAAATACAACTGTATATGATAGCACACAGCTAAGTTTCATGATAACACTTTAAAAAAAATTAAATATTAGATAACTTACCCTTTTTTTTAAATTTCGTTATAAAGACTCACGCGCCGAGATGATACCGTCGCCGCGATTTGCAACCGCACTGAGTAAGCGTTCGTGCGTATTTCTCCACTAGCTAGAATGAGACAGCTGTACGTGGAGCAATGAAATAGGAACTATCTGTTTTCACCCCCTATCCGGTTTCCCCCCTCATTCCCCTATATATATGTGTTTGTTTGTTTGTCCTTCTTTCACGTCGAAACAGAGTGACGGATTGGCGTGATTTTTGTATGGCGGGAATATATCTCATTTCAACAGGGAAACACATGATAATATAACCGAAAAAAATATTTATGATCAGAATTACTTGAAACTTAGTATTAATACTCTTCAAGACAAATAAATACGTGTTTTAGCATTTTTCGAAATTCACCCCATAAGGGGATGAAAGTTTGTATGAAACCTACTTTTTAGAGTTTTTTTTGTAGTTTTTAGTTCTGCTAGTTTATCAATAATTTCGTTTTCACATGAGTGTTTTTTATTTTACTTATGTATCAACAGGATATATCAAAACTCTCAACACTCAACCTCACCGAGCAGATCCGTTCGGATCTCCTCAAAACCCAGAATCTCGCAGTCTCCTTCCCCGGTCTCCTCTCTGAGCTCAAGAACTTAACATCTGCTGCTGAAGAGAAGGAAGGCATACTGTACAACCTTACTCCCAAGTACAAGGAGAAATATCTGGATGCAGTAGAAAAGCATGTCAGTGTATTGGGAGAAAAAGCGAAGGAGTATAAAAAGTTAGTATATGCATTACACATATTGAAGCTTAGAAAATTTGATAATTGATATTTCTTATTTAATAATAATATACTCATAACTTTTTTTCAAGTTAAAGTAAAAACTATATTTTTCAAAATTAATTTCTGTATAGGTACTTGCGAAATAAAAGAATTTCGTTAGATTCTGTCACATCACTATTAAGCTAACTTATCTTTTCTGAAAGTAGGTTAAATAATAATTCTCACACTCGCAGTCTATTCTCACACGCATGCGTGAGTTCAAGTGGCAGGGCGTCTTTTTCACTTATACGTCATTTGTTTTTAGTTAAACCATGTGTTTGTTTTTTGGTTATAAAACAATTTCCCTATCGCACGTTATAATATAATAATAATAATAAATCTTTAATTCAGGCAAAAACCCATAATTACACAAAAAAAGAAAATAAAACGAAAACACATACAATTTATCTATTCTAAGAGTTAGTAATACAAAATACTTAACCTATGTTAGCTTAAGAAGAGAAAAGAAAAAAAAATAACAACTAGATTGCCCTGCCTGTTATACTCAGTACACTTGGTGATTAAGAGCTAGACGAAATAAAGTGTAATATTTCGACCATCACGACGCTTTTTATTCACAAATCATTCATGTTTTACAAAATAAAAAAGTCCAATATTTTATCAACAAATCTATTAAATATCTTCTTAAAGCCAGTTAAATGTGATGTCCATTAATTCCAACAGCCTATTCGCGGGCACGCGCGCCCTGGCGGCGGCGGGCGTGGCGGCGGCGCGCGCGTGGGCGCAGGTGGCGGAGCGCGTGCGCGAGGCCGCGGCCGCCGCCGCCGCCGCCGCCGCTGCCGCCGCCCTCGCCGCCCGGCTGGCGCGCGGCCCGCAGCCCTTGTTGCGCACCGCCGCCACCGAGAGGGCGGCCTCGGAGGACCTCATGACGCGTGGGACCGAAGTGCTGGCTAAAGCTGAGGGTGAGTATTTATTTGAGGGGCTAGTAGTAACTTAATAAATAAATAAATTTGTAAGTACTAAGTAGGATAGAGCCCTCTCTATCCTACTTAGTACTTACCAATTTATTTATTTATTTATTTACGTAGTGTAGTGTAGAGTGTAGTTATTTACGTCCCTACGTAATGTTATTTTTCCAAGAGGTCTTTTTATTAATGTGACACATACAGTGTGATTGTTTCTTACATTAATCTTGTATGTCAATACCTAGTTAATATCATTTGTAATCTAAATGATTCCAAAATTGTCCAGAGCTTCGTCACGAACTGGAAACAGCGCAACACCGGACCGACGCGATCAGCGTGAACCTGCGCGCGCTCGGCTGGAAGGAGCGGTCCCTGGCGAGCGGCGCGGAGAGCGGCGCGGCCAGCGGCGTGCTGGGCGCGGCGGCCGGCGGCGCCTCCATGTCCGCGCTGCGGCACGCCGGCGCGCAGGCCGAGCGCGTGTTCGCCAGCGCTCGGGCGCTGTACGACGAGGCGGCGGAGATCCGCAGGAAAGTACGCTACCAACTGCGCAGGAATCTCGCAGCGCTTCAGCGACTGGGTGATACTGCGTTAGGCGCTGCTGAGGAACATGGTGAGGAAATGAATCTTTTTGGTGTTTTTTATTAATTTTAACTTTGATTAAGGAAAAGGTACCGGATTTATATTATGTAAAATCTGTTAATACAACAGGAAACGTTGTGTGTGCCGGACACGGTCTTCCCTGTAATACAAGGGAGATCAGGCCATAGTCCACCACGGAAGAAAATGAGGATTAGCGGACTTCATATGTCTTTCGAAAGCTTGTTAGATTCTCTCAGACATGCAAGCTTCTTCACGATGTTTTCCTTTACCGCAAGACAGTTGGTAATCATTTTGGAAATGAATCGTACATGAGAATATCAGAGGTGCAAGACCCAGGATTTGGACCCGATTCACTTACTATCTTTAAGTTGTTTTTATTGGATATTTTTTATTATCATTAGTTCAATTTAGACAATTTGTGTTTTGCAATTAAATAGTTGTTAATCATTATAAGAAAAGTATGATACTCGACAGTAGCCTATGTGTCACTCTTAAGTTTTATATTTCACTCAAACCAACCAAAACCCGTTCAAACTTTACAATAATGATAAATATACACGCATATGTATAAACTTTCACATTTAAAATAACAGTAAAATTTTTCATCATTCCCATCCCCCAGTGTCGCAGATCCGCGGCAACACGGTGCGCGGCGCGCAGGTGGCGGAGGCGCTGGCGGCGGCGGCGGCGGCGCGCGCGCGGCGGAGCACGCGGCGGCGGCGCGCGCGCTGCGCCCCGCGCTGCGCGGCCTGCGCGAGCGCGTGCTGCGCGCGCGACACGCCGCCACCACTGTCAGTTGACATATATACTAGATAATACTTTTTTAGATTTATGCGAATATTTACATTTTAAATAAAACTTTCTTTTCAGGCTTTTACGTGGAGTTATTTAGATTTTTGGTTCCCGATGTTTCGTTCGAATTCTTTAGAGCAATTATGGTCACAGGAGAGATGGTTTTAGACGTCTCGAAGATATATAGTTGTTAACAAACAGTGACAAACTTAGAAACCCACAAAATTACAAAATATAAATGTTTTCTCTTTATAATAGCAGTACAGATAGATATATAGCAATAACATGGTTCCCTCCAACAGATCTCGGTGTCGCTTACGTCGCCGGCGGCGGGCGCGGGGTGCGCGCGCGCGTACGCGGCGTGGGGCGCGCCGGCCGCCACGCGCGCGTCGCTCGCGCTCAGCTTCGACGCCGCCGTGCGCGACGGCACCATACTCTACCTGCCTGATCAGGTTTCAATATATTTTGACCATTTTTCTAATGTATAATATAAATTTATAGTATACAAGTTATACTGTTGTATAAGCTATATTACTGAAAAGTTTCATCAAAATCCGATCAGTTCTTTTTGCGTGAAAGAGTAACAACCGTATCTATATATCCTCACAAACTTTCACGTTTATATAAGGTAGAGACTGGATCCGCAAAGTACAAAATCACCCTCAATGGCACGCCGTGGGAGAGGCCTATCCAACTGTGAACAGAAATTGACTAATAACTGTTATAATAACAAAACATTGTGAACTAAGAAAAAGATAAATTCTAAGAATATATTGAACGGCATTGAGTTTTAGAAGTCAATTTTTAAAAATCAAAAAGGTAATCAATTTTATCACCTCCAGGTAAATTTCTAAAAAATTAATTAAATTTCAAAGAAAAGAGCTTGAAATAGAGACCTTTATTATTATTATTTTATACATAAAATTGTTAAAATCGTGGACTATTTGTCAGAAAGATTGACTGCTTTCGAAGTGACATTGATGATAATGATGTTCTCCTAGCCGATTCCGGCCACGGCGGCCAATCTCATTGAGACTAGCCAACTGCGCAGGAGATATTATAGTGCACAAGTGTACGCGTAGACACGACGTGCACTCTCTATTCCTGTCACTCTCATACTCTGGTGGGACGAACACTCGACATGACCAGTGAGAGTATCGGCGCAGGACCGACGGCTTTACGTGCTCTCCGAGGCACGGGGGTAAAACACCGCCAACTTCCCAACTCCGGGCTGTTACTGAGACTTACTATACAGAAAGACTCAATAACTGAACTTGGCCCGACCCGGGACTCGAACCCAGGACCTCCAAGTGTGCAGCCGTACATGCTAGGCACTACACCACCGAGGCATTACTTACTACACCACAAACTCTTTTTTACCGACCGAATTTATCTCTTATAAAACGTAAGAAATAGTTATCAAGTCATATCGGCTATAAAATATCGCTAAAATATACTTAATATTAAAAACAACATCCAATCCAGGAGTCAGAGCGCTACCTGCGCGTGTCAGTGCAGGGCGGGCGGCTGCGCGTGACGTGGGACGTGGGCGGCGGCGCCGGCGCCCTGGAGCACCCCGAGGCGCTGCAGCCCGCGCTCGACGACGCCGACCACACCATCTACAGGCTTCATGTTGAGAGGTGACTATGTAATGTGATGTTACTTGGCAATTTTTAATTGTTATATATAGATGTAAGAGATGTATGTAGTCCTTCAATGGTTTTATAATTTGTTATAATAATTATAGTTTTTAAAACAAAAATAATGCGCTTTGGATTAATTATAAGTAAATAATCCCATTATGATGGGACTCGTCAAAACGAATCAATTGAATCTTTGAAGATTAGTAAAGCGTTGTAAAGTTCCATTATATCTTCACTGGTTCATCATCGTAATAAACAAAAAATACAAACCTATTCAGAATCTTCTTTTTCATTGGAGTCTGTAACAGAAATGAATAGCGAACCAAAGCAATACATCATTAACAAATCAGCCGTCCTCAGAGTGTGGGGTACCGTCAAGCTACGAGTGGAACGCTCTGGTATGCCCGCCATCACGACCACCAACTCCACCAGCACCGCGCCGGGGACTGGCCTGCTGCAGCCCAGCTCCTGGTGGCTGGGCGAGGAGTCCAGCCCGCTGCCCGCCTGCGTGCATTCTCTTCACGCAGACCACACTGCTATAGGCTTGTGGGCCTTCAGTAAACAGCCCGTGAATGCTAAGTGTACGGGATGTACGCAAAGGTATGAACTTGTTCTTGTATTTTATCTTGTTAATATATTTCAAGCTTTATTTCTTAGAACGAAGAGTTCAAATTGTAAATCAAAACAAATTGTACTCATCCTATTTAATATTAAAGCATGTTGTACCCGTTAAAGAGCTTTTTCACCTCCAAACTTCGTTCAATTATTGTATTGAATTTCAAGATTTGACAATTCAACACCAAAAAAAATTCAAACGTGAATCTAATCAACTAGGAGAATCTAATCTAATCTTAAATTCCAAAATTAAATAACATACTTAGTTACTAAGCAATACTGTCATGAAATAGACCACTCTCTAGAAAGAGAGGAAGCGAACGTGTTTCAATACTTGTCTTTTGCTCCAATTTGTATTTATAAATGGAATGTAAAAAAAATATTATATTTTTTTTTAAATTTAAATATTACAACAGGATGTACGAGTAAAATGTTTATAAATATCTATCTTCATTAATCATATTTCAATTGATACGGAAGAATTTTGGCCGCACTGCCGTTTGTTCGTTTTCGTTCGTTCGTTTCTCTGTTCCGCTTTCCCGCCATTTTTAACTGACGGCTCTCTATGTCTATGATCGATGATACAAAAACATGACAGATGATTCAAAAACGTAAAATTATTCTAAATATTAAAACCTTTCAGACGTTATAAAAAGTGAAACTAATCGGTATTTAAAACCATGTTGGTTTATTGATAGTCATTTTGATATTGGCGAAGTAATTTTTGCTCGAATGGTACTCTTTGAAGCCATTAATAAGAAAATTGATTTTTTAGGTAAATTTAAGTTGCAATTAAACAAAGGAAATAACTTGACGCATTTATTACTGTCACAGATTAGCTACTCGTTTGCGAGTGTGTGTTCTGCTTGAGTTGCTCTCTTTTATATGCCTCTATGTCGAACCTTTACCATATATGTAGATAATAATTTTAAAACAACGATGTACACCAGATGGTACAGCTCGTCGCGCAACAGCGAGGGCCTGGTGCGGCTGGGCGGCGCCGGCTACGTGGCGCTGCGGCGGCCGCGCCGCGCGCCCGACCGCCGCCGCTTCAGCCTCTCGCTCTCCTTCCGCACCACCGACACCGACGCCCTCTTGTTCTTGGCACACGACAAGGCTAATGTGAGTGTATATCCTTAAATAAAACTATATTTTTAAATTACACGGGAGAGACCGTCTCTCCCGTGACCATGATTGCTGTAAAGCATTCGAAACGTCAGGAATCCAAGATCAAAATAAATCCGCGGAAAAATCGGAAAAGACAGTTTTATTTAAAATGTCAAATATTCGCGTAAATCTAAGAAAGTATTATTAGAAATATCCTTAGTTTAGTTACTTACGTATTGTGTTTATAGCTCAAAGCTTACGGCTGTTAAGCCTTGTATTATATAGACGGTATAAGGACGACAATATAAATGGATAAAATCGATTTTTAACGACTTCAAAAAGTAGAAAGAATTCAATTTTTTCGTATATCTATCTATCCCATCCAACCAATTAGACTTTAGAGAGAGATTGATATATTTTACGAATATTTTAAAACTAAAGTTTCTTTTAACTTGTTGGATGTCCATATTACTATTCCTGCCAGCTAGATTAATAGACAATATTCTGTATTAATATAGCATATCTTATATCTTTATTGAGGTTAGTTTTCAGTATCTAATATAATGCTAAGATATGTCAGAGCGATGAAATTAAATCCAATAAACTAAAAGGGTCATGAGTTTGATATACTAAATGCTGACTGCTGTTCAGATAACTTACATAACCTGAACTATACCAATGCATCAAAAACATTTTTGCCTGTCTGTCTTACGTACTATAATATTACTACTTACTATTATATTATAACTAGCATTGCCCGCGGCTCCGCCCGCGTTCAGATGACCAAAAACTAAATTCTTAGGTGTTACATATTAGTATACTCTTACATTGCAGTTTTTGTATTTTTCCTCAGAAATAAGATATTTTCCCGCGGTAAAAAGTATCCTAGGATCGCGCGCTACATCGCCCGGTTTATATAGCTTGAGCAGGCGGTCGAGCGATGCGGGGCAGAGGGGATGGACTCGCCGTAGGCATCTCAATGCTCGCCAAGCATTAAAAATGTTTCGCTACTAATTACTTCTAACAACGATATCTCAAAAACTATTCATCTGATTGATTTAGTGTAAAGAGCAATTTTAATCTGCATTAAATGACTAAGCTAACTAAAATATTCATTTGGATAAGGATTAATACCGAACTAAAGAAAATAACTTTGAAAATAACGTAATGTTTTTAATTAAAAATGTTAACATAAAAGTGGTTATTGTAAGTCAACCGTAAGAGATAGAGATATGCTATCGCGGACTTTTTTGTAGCATTTTTATAGATTTTGAATTCTCTAGTACATTACTTAACTGTATCTTTGCTAGTTTACGCGGCGTTCGCGTGGAAAGTTCCCATTTGGCGAGATTTTTTGCGACCTCTTCAACATTTGTCGCCGTATTTCAGCTAATTTACATAAAAGCATAATAAATTATATACCTAAACCTTCCTCAAGAATTACTCTTTCTATTGTTGAAAACCGTATAAAAATCCGTTCAGTAGTTTTCGAGTTTATCGCGTACAGACAGACAGGAGGACAGACAGGAGGACAGAAAGACGCGGCCGGGGGACTTATTTTTATAATAAGTATAGACATTAGGCTCTAGAACGGCTTTCAACGACTATAACGTATAATTTTCCTAGCAAAAGGAAAGTGATAGGGGAGAAAAGGTTTTTGGCGGAAATAGGAAATGTAAAATCGAAACGAATGAAAGTTTATTTCATCATGAGATTTCAGATTTCGAAGACATATAAGTGAGTGAGATAATATGTGTGTTGTATATATCGTACAGAACCGTTCGGTGTCGGTGTGGCTGCGCGCGTGCCGCGTGGTGTTTGCGGTGGCGTACGGCGGCGCGCGCCTGCGCGTGGCGGGCGGCGCGCGTCACTGCGACGGCCGCCCCGCGCACGTGCAGGCCACGCGCGTCTTCAACGGCCTCGAGAGAGGTACCGTGTGGGCGCCGCCCCGCAACCTACTACTTCCCATTACACCCTACTGCGCACTATCTATACTAATATTATAAAAAGGAAAGCTTTTTTTGTTTGTTTGTCCCGGAAACCACCCATGGTAAGAATGGGGATGAAAGTTCGTATGGGGAAGCAACCTAGAGACGAACTCGAGCGAACTTTTTAAATTACTATATAGTTAGAATTTGTAAGAGATTTTAAGACTCCGATGATCTTTTTTATTGACATTTTTATGAGTTGATATGCTAATTACGTATAAATGGTGAAAAAATCGTAACATTTAACAAATGTTCATTTATTGTCTTACAAAACTAATTTATTTTGCTTATAAATGCAATAAAAACTACTAATCGTATATAACATGTGAGCGGCGGTCCCCAGGCAGCCTGCGCGTGAACGGAGAAGAGACTCTGGGTTCCCCCTCTCCCCCGGTCCAGTCGGCTGCAGACCTGCCCGAGCTGACTGGCGCCACCTACTGGCTCGGTGGCATACCCCCCGAGGGCGAAGGCCTAGGCTATGACAACCTCCCCCTCATGGGGTGCCTAGGAGGTGTAATGGTGGACAGAGAAGGATATGACCTTTTGGATACGCCCACTCGACATGGCGTGGAGCCAGGGTGTAATCCTATGGTAAGTTTTTAATCCAATTGATTATACATACACGAATATTTATCATTGGTCATACGAGCCGAATTGAAGGCTCTGAATTTACACATCTAATGGGTTTATCAGAATCCCTAAATTGTGAAATATGCGGAACCGTAGATGATATTCAACATGTTTTGATGGAATGCGAATGGAACTCTGATGAATGTCGACATATTTTATTAAAAATTATGAGGTAGAATTGTGCAACTGTATCTTGGCTTGCACCTTATCGGAGCAATTAAAGATGCTTTGCGTATTGCTAACTGCGATATAGTCGTTCCATGTGGAACAAAGGGGACACTTAGGGCTATTGAAAAAAATATCCTATTTTGAGAACTTTGTCAATTTCTGAAAGAAAACTTTAAACCAAATAAAAGTCCGTTTCTGCATCTATAACAGTTTGCCGAACTATTTGAAATATAAAGTGTATGTATTTAAAATTATATATGTGTACTGTATCAATTATCTGGTATCCATAACACAAGCCTCGTAGCTTACCATGGAGCTAGATGGTGGTTTGTGTTAATGTCCCAACATATTATTATAATTATAATGACGTCGACCCTCAGCCCATGCGGTCGGCGGTGCTCGAGGGCGAGGGCTACATCGAGCTGGCGTCGCCGGGCGTGCGGCGCAAGGCGTCGCTGTCGCTGTCGTTCCGCGCGCGCGCGCCCGCCGGCCTGCTGCTGTACCGCGCGCCCGCCGCGCCCGCCGCCGGCAACGAGGTGGACGACGAGGATGGAGATGACAATCATTATTTAATTCTGGCTTTAATTAAAGGTAGTACTATTTATTCATAATTAATCATTTTTATTTAGATAATGTAGGTTGTTTTTTTTAGTGCTGGGGCAAGTGTTTTATATGATTTTAATATAAAAAAGAAAATAGAAAGAACAATGCTATTCAGTTTTTATTTCAATTTTTAAGCTTTTAGGCTTTTTATCATAGTTTAATTTAAAAAAACACTATTCACGTCGATTGAATAAATTCACTCAACTTTATAAAAAAAATTAAATGTTCTGGAAATTCAATAATGTATTTTAAATACATGTAATTAATATATATATCTTCCTCTTGAATTACTTCTCTCATTCACTTCACTGCTAACTCGCAGGTGAGCTGGAGCTGGTCGCGAACGCAGGCAAGAGCGAGCTGCGGCTGCGGACGAACGGCAGCAGGTTCGACGACGGCGCGCTGCACACCGTGCGGATGGTGCGGGCTCACAAACAAGTGCGTCGCTTTTATATATTAATTTCTAATTAGGTACATAATCTTTAAACAATATTTTCGCTAAAATTATTAAAATGTTTTGGTTTACTAAAACATTTTCAACAACAACAGGCTTTAATCCAAACCCAACTACCAAACCCTAGACCAACTATAACAACGAACAACTAAAAAAAATATTATATATCTCTGTCTGACTATTTCTCACAGTTACTTTCCGGAATGATCGAATCAATTTTAATAAAACTCCTCTTGGTCATAAAACGAAAATAAACTTTTCATCCCCCCTTTCCCCCCTTCACTTCCTGCTGAATACAGGATATAGAAAGTACGCCATAAGCACGTTTATTTTTAGTAAAAAATTATTGTAAGCAATAATGACAAACATACAACAGATGGAGCTATGGGTGGATGAGAAGCAGCTGGCGGCGGGCGCGCTGCCCGGCGGCGCCCTGGCCCCGCGCCCCCGCGGCCTGTTCCTGGGCGGCGTCCCGTCGGGAGCCCCACATTTACCCGTCGGGGGGTTCACTGGGACCATTGCTGATTTTATTGTGGACTCTACGTGAGCTGTTTTTGATTTTTGTTGTAGTTTTAATATTACATATTTCTAATTTGTGTTCCGTTCACATGTCAATAAGAAAGTTTTTTAAGCTGGATTTTTAATTTTGTTTTTTTAAAAATTCATTTTTTTTATTGCAAAAACGTTTTAATTAAAAAATGTGGGATTTATAGTAAATAGCATCTTTTAATACACGTATAAAAGTCTGAATAATAAAAAAAACATAACAATTAAATAGATCCTCCTTTTTTGAAGTCCATCAAATGAGTCAATAATGCTTAACAATCTGTATGGGATAGAATATAAGCAATAAGTATGTGTGTGCAGGTGGGTGGGGCTGGAGTCGAGCGTGTCGCGCGCGGGCGCTCGGCTCGGGCGCGCCGAGGGCTCGCCGCGCGCCGCCGCGCCGCGCGCGCTGCTCGCCGCGCCCGACGACGCCGGCTGCGCCAAGGTACGCTCACATACGGTTACAGGTCTCATTTTTATGTGGAATCATGGATCATTTGAACGTTGATATATAGATTAGTGATAGAGAATAATTTTTTTATAACTTACATACATAGTTTGGTCACCTAATTATGTTTTGCGACTGTATCTACTAGTTAGGCGTCACGTCAAAAAAGCTACTTATCATAAGTAATCATTTTTAAAAATGGTTTAGAGATCCGTAATTAGATAGCTTTATTTGAAATATTTTAATAATAATTTAGATTTTATATTAAAGATACAAAGATATATAATACAAATAATTTAATTACATAAATTACAATACATCCTGCTGATTGTAAAAGAAAATTAGAATATCAAGCGTTATGACCTTTATATATTCAACAAAAATATATAAATAACGAGCATATGTTTCGAATACCAAAAATATTTTCCCATCACACAGATTATATATTTACAAATATATCTGTCTATCCCACCGCCAGATGTCGTCCTACACGGTGGAGGCGGGCGCGGTGAAGTTCGGCGACGCGGCCGGCAGCCACGCCGCGCTGAGGGTGGCGCGCGCCCGCGGCAAGGACAAGGACAAGGACAAGGCGGAGTTCACGCTCTCCTTGCAGCTGCGGACCTTCGCCAGTGAAGGCCTGCTTATGTTGATGCCGGTGAGGGGTTCTGGATTGTACTAGCTTTTATTACTTATACCACAGTCTAAAGATCTTTACAGTCGTCTAAGGATGGTGTCTAGACAAGGCAATCGTGTGAGAAATACCGAGTTAAGACAAAGATGCGGCGCACCCTATTATCACTTATTTATATATGACAGTTGGGAAAGGGTTCTAGGGTTGACGAGTATAACTGTAACTTGCCTCAACATGAAGATTTACTGGGAAACCGCTTGCTTGCATTTGATAAGGTGTTGATAGTATGTTCAAGTCTTGATCATTAACTTGATACTTCTAGAATAAAAGTTAATAAGTAATATTTATAAATTATTATTATAATACGTATAATGTATATTTCTTAATAGTACAATAATATTGACGATGTACCGGTGCAGGGCTCCAAGCTGAAGCCGAAGCACTACACGGCGCTGTGGCTGCGCGAGGGCCGGCCGCGGCTGGCGCTGCGCGGGCGCCGGCGCCGCGAGGTGGCGCTCGCCGCGCGCCTCGACGACGGCGCCTGGCACTCCGTACGCTCTTCATATTTATTTTTTAATATTTTTGACTCTATCTGAGTACTTATTTTATTATTTAGGTATATTAAGTAGAAGATACGCATGTATATAATATGTATTGTTAAAATTTGGTTTCAGGATTTCGTAGAACGAGTTTTACGCGAGACTTTGTTATTATTCATATACCTACGTACATAAATGTTAAGGGTGTTAAAAAATAACTTTATATACTCAGAGTCTGCTAGTTCGATTTCAATACACAAAAAAAACTTTATATTATTCACAGATAAAGTAGTCCAGGACTTTTTCAGCAGAATCATTTGAAACGGCCATAAGCAAAGTTATACCTAGTGCTAGTAGGTAGTCTTATCATATAATATTAATTTTAAGTAGCAATATGAAAACAATGTTCATAGTTTTTAAATTTGTGGTCCGTAAAAAATTTGTAATACTTAAACATATTGACATTTCGGATGTCTGCGCTGTTGGTAGCTCAGGCAATTAGAGGCAATTTTTTTAGGACAATTTTGAGATTAATTATTGTACCTATATCTCAAGTTTTTGTATATTTTTCAACTTAATTTTTAAATTAAAAAAACTTTATCCTTTATATAACTCTTTCTTAGATTTACGCTAATATTTGACATTTTAAATAAACCTAGGTATCATTTCGGATTTATTTAGCAATCATGGTCTGTCCCGTCACCATGATGCTGACTGCTGTAAAGCATTCAAAACTTCAGGAGCCAAATCTCGTAATAAGTCCGCGAAAAAAATGCAATCTTTATATGTATATTTCTGTCCCGATGCGTCCAGCTCACGGTGCGCATCTCGCGCACGCGCATGTCGCTGTCGTCGGGCGGCGCGGCGGCGGCGGCGCGCGCCCCGCCGCACGCGCGCGCCGCGCGCCTCTACGTGGGCGGGCCGCCGCCGCCCGCGCTCGCCGCGCACGTGCCCGCGCAGGTCAGGCCCGCTTGTTATTGTTACTTTGCTTATTAGGATTATTATTATATTTTTTTGTTATATTTAGTAGGTAGGTACGTATTTTATGTGTCAGTTCAAGATGATAATGTTTTTGTTATTTATTAGATTTTTCTCTAATTTGTTTTTTATTTTATATTTTATTTCAATATATTAAAAGTAACGACCCGTCTATAGGGTTTGTGAGTGCACTGCGAGTTTTTGTGAGTCTTACAGTCTTCTGTTGACAGGAACTTCACAAAAAATATCCTATGAGAAATCAAAATAACCATATAAAATCTATTTGCCGATTACAATTTTTTAATGTATAAATACACTACGAGTACATAAAGTCGATTTAAATAAAAGTAAAATATCGTCAATTAAAGCCACATTGCTACATGGCAGGTGCTGCGGCCGGGCGGGTTCGTGGGCTGCGTGCGGCGCGTGGCGCTGAACGGGCGCGCGGAGGACCTCGTGCGCGACGCGCGCGCCGCCGCCGTCGGACAGTGCTTCCCGCGCGTCGAGCGCGGCGCCTACTTCGCCGGTCAGTTTCATAACTCAATGGTTACCAAAGAATATTAGAGACCATTTTAATACCTAATTGTGAAATACTGTGTTCGAGAACTTGGACGGTCCAAGTATGAGCAATTAATATTTCAGGCAAAGTACTCTTAGTGATAATGGGAGATAGAAATTTGGCGGTGTGCATCAGTAAGCATCTATCTTTCTCTCTCTGTCTATCTCTCTCTTGAGCATTTTTAATGCCCCACTGCTGTATACAAGCCACCCTTCAAACCGAGAAGAATCAGGCCGTAGCCCACCACGCTGACCAAGAACAGGTTGGCAAACTTCGCAATATATTTTGAGAACTACGAGTAGTTAGGTTCTCTCAGACAGGCAGGTTTCCTCACGATATTTTCCTTCACCGTAAGGCAAGTGTTGAAAACGATTCACACATAAAATTATCAAAGGTGCGAGACCCGGGACACGAACCCACTTCACTCGGTTTCTCAAGCAAGCGCGTTACCATTGTACTACCAAAACTAAGTAAAAAGCATGTGTTGCATGAAAAAACCTGTTATGGTTATATTCGAAATTCAAATGTTTGTTTTTCACTATATTATTAATATGCATTGGTGGTGTGTCGTGTCGCAGGCGACGCGTACGCGGAGTGGGCGGACGCGCGCGAGGGCGAGGAGGGGGAGGAGTGGGTGGAGGTGCGCCTGCAGTTCCGCGCGGCGGCCGGCGCCGGCGTGCTGGCCGCCGCCGCCGGCGCGCTGCTCGAGCTGCGGGACGGGTTTGTGAGTGTCCTTTTTATTTAGCATTAGCATTTATTGTGATAATTAATTTTATTGTGTTATTACAATTTGTGAAGAAGAATATTTGATTTCTCAGCGTTTCTTGTAAAATGAATACTTTTAAAATACTACACGATATAAAATATCTTATTTTTAGTCGAAACTGTTGAAACGATTTACGATAGATTTAACGTAACTGATAATTTATTGCTATACTCAAACGAATGATCACTAGGAAAGGATATTTTTAATAAAATATTAAGGACAAAAATTGCAATTTACTAGTATAAAGCAACATTATTTTTTATAATAACCATCCATAGCCATACAATAAAATCAAGACAGAACTAGTATATGACAAAGTGTCGCGTGTCCCGTCGGCAGGTGGTGATCACGTCGGAGGGCGGCGAGCGCGTGGCGGCGGCGGCGCGCGCGTGCGACGGGCGCTGGCACGCCGTGCGCGCGCGCCTGGCGCGCCGCGGCGCCGCGCTGGCGCTGGACGCGGCGCCCGAGGAGCGCGCGCCGCCCGCGCTGCACGGCGCCGCGCCCGCGCCCGCGCCCGCCGCCGCCGTACACGTCGGCGGCCTGCCCGGTCAGTGCACCTCCCACTTTGTATTCTATTGTATATGCTCCGACAAGACATTCAAAAACCTTTTATTGCTAAATTCAATAAATTAAAAGAACGTCTGTGTACGTTATAGTAGATGACACAAATGATGTGGTCGTTTCCAAGCTACTTCAAATTTGTAGATATAAAAAAAGATTAAAAAATAATTTTATGCTGAATATTTATAATATTTTGAATTTGAACATATATAACAAGTATATTTTTTAATATTTAGCATGTTTGATAAACATTTAAAAATTATATGTAAATATATTAATAACAGAGGGCGCCACAGAGCTGGCGGAAGGCAGAGAGAACTTCAAGGGCTGTATAAGAGACGTAGTAATCGGGGGCTCCCCGCGCGACTGGCGACACGCGCGCGTCCTGCACAACGTGCTGCTCGACTCGTGCCCTGTCACATAGTGACAGTAACAGGCTTGTATTGCCATTAGTGAAAAAAGATAAGGACTTTATATCTAGAAGAACTATTTCATCTAATAAATTGTACAAACGTGTGAACAGTGCCTTATTGAAAGTTTTAAAGAACTTAAATTTTCAAAATTATAAATAGAATATTGTAATATGTTCTTAATATCTTTTAAGTTTATTTCATAAAGCAAACGAGGCTATATACGGAGGCTGATATAATCTATCTTATGTAAATACAAATAACTAAGAGAAAAAAATTATATACTTATGTCAGTACAATAGTTTACCTGTGCCATTTATATTTAATTATTAAAAAATAAATATAATAAAACAGAGAATTATGATGAGACAAGTGTATAAGTAAAAGCATAGTTATTTATAATCTATTTTCAAAAGTAAAATACTTTTATTGTAGCTATTTCCAATATCATCTTCATACCAAGTATAAAATCCAATTGAAATAAAAAAAATTATGGGCAAGATGTAAATCAATAATACATAGACGTAGAGAATAGACTGAGTAATACTGTTATGAAATTGACCACTATCTAGAAAGAGAGGAAGCGAACGTGCGGCCAGTAATCCGCCTTTTATTCCAGTTCGAATTTATAAATGAAATGTGAAAAAATTATAATATTATAATGAAATGTAATATGGTTATAAGTATCTATCTTCATCAATCGTATTTCAATGAATACAGAAGACTTCTGGCCGCATATTCGTTTTGTCTCTGTCGCTCTTCCGCTATTTTCAGCTGACGCCTGGCCAAAAAACACTCAGTCCACTCTCTATGTCTATGCACAAAGCTGAATGATTACTATCAACAAGTCTATAATTTTAACTATTAATAGCACAGACTAAATTAACTTTCAAAAACAAAAATTGACATTATGAAAAGCCAACATCACGCATAACGTGTCTTCTCCATTCTACGCGAAATTGGCGAAGTAAATTGAGCCCAAATGGCACTCCTGGAAGCCACTAAACAAATAAATTTAATCGAATCCTTATCTTAATATATATATATATATATATATATATATATATATATATATATATACAGGGTGGCCGGTCAATTGACGTCATAAAAAAAAATTTAGGTCCGGTATGTTGTGGGGTATACGAATCACTCCCATGTATGTTACGCGATTTTTTATAGTTTAGGAGTTATGAATTTTTTTAGATTTTTTGAGAAATTTCGACTTGACTATCTTAAAAAAATTCTAAAAAAAAAGAAAAAGACTTTAGAGTTTTATTTTTTTTTTCAACTGAATTCGCATGAGTTGTACTTTCATGCATAAAATAATTAGCTTCGTAGCTTTGATGAAAGTTATGAAAATGTTGGTCTAAAGTCAAATTTTTACGTTTCGTGAATTAGGACTTAAATTTTCAACTCTAAATTAAAAATCTAAACAGGTGACCTTATGATTTCTTAGTTATTTTTAAACGTATTTTTAAACGTTGGTCAACGTGGCCACTTTGAAAACTTGTTATAAATTTTAAAAATATTAAATTATTTCAACATTATGATCTCGTTCTTACTTAAAACTTTTCTTATCCAACCAACAAGATAGGTTTCCAGCATTTTCTAATAATTAATTAGTCTTAAGAATGACAGATTTTTTTTTAATCAATTGGCTAATTTTAAGAATTCTCCACCTTGCTGTCTTTGAAGACCGATTTTAGCCAAATTTCCCCAATTAAGTACAGCTTTTCTTTTATTATTATGAAAGCTGAAAGTCTGCCGCATTTTTAAAAATAACTAAGAAATCATAAGGTCACCTGTTTAGATTTTTAATTTAGAGTTGAAATTTTAAGTCCTAATTCACGAAACGTAAAAATTTGACTTTAGACCAACATTTTCATAACTTTCATCAAAGCTACGAAGCTAATTATTTTATGCATGAAAGTACAACTCATGCGAATTCAGTTGAAAAAAAAAATAAAACTCTAAAGTCTTTTTCTTTTTTTTTAGAATTTTTTTAAGATAGTCAAGTCGAAATTTCTCAAAAAATCTAAAAAAATTCATAACTCCTAAACTATAAAAAATCGCGTAACATACATGGTGTGTGAGTGATTCGTATACCCCACAACATACCGGACCTAAATATTTTTTTATGACGTCAATTGACCGGCCACCCTGTATATATATATATATATATATATATATATATATATATATATATATATATATATGTTATTGTTTTAGTGATATAATTATATAGAACAGCCAGGAAGTGACACGACCGATCGACGACGAAGAATAAATACAATATTGAAATGATTTCTGAAACAATTATCAAGGATATTTCTTAAATTCGCCCTTCAAATATTTTAATATATTTGAAGGGTATGGGTAAAGAACGTGGAATGTCCTAATGTATAAACTATGAAAAAAAAGCAATTTTAAGTTTAGAAGTATATTTTCATTGAGATCAAATTGTGCAGTAACTTTTTACTATAATATATGTTTTTGGACAAATATACTGATGTCATGGACATTCCCAGTTCTTTTCGCAAGATAAAAACATATTTTTAGCGACATCTGTTGAGTATTTGTAAAAACGTTGGGAATGCAAGTACCATAAACATAGATTCGTTACCAGTGCAAAAAAAAAAACAATAATTGAGACATACCCTATTTATTCTTTGCCTGTACCCTTCAGTTATATAAATTACTAAATTCAAATTCTATATTAATTATTGTTTGTCTGTCGTGTTCAAATGTACAGTCAACGTTAAATACTCACGTGTACATATAGTAGGTACTAACAAAGAGCAGTATTCGTACAATAAATGTAAATATATGTGATTTAACTATTTTATTTTAGTTTATTTTAAGTTAAACTAGATTAATTCCAGTGAAACAGAATGCATGAAAATATCTTTTTACTTTTCACAGATTAAAAAAAAATGTATATCTAAGTAAACTTTCGTTGATTGAATTTTTCGTATTTTTTTTTTATTATAGTACGTATTGTGCCTTTTTTAAATTAAAGAAATAACCTCTTTTGAAATTATGTTTGTAGTAAAAACTGTATGTGAATTTGCATTTATTTATACTCTTTAGTCACTAGATAGCGTACATTTAAATGTAGTTTTTTTAATCGCAGTCACAAATATATGTAGATACTAAATGTAGGGTTCAGCTTTAATAGGAATATTCATTACGTTGAAATTGTTGTCAACTATTAGTTTATACGAGAAGAATTTCATTAGAAAATATCAATAAAAAAATTAATTTATATTAAATTTGGTAATAAAATTGAATAATATATAAGAATGAATGAATCTCACTCATCTACAAAAAATAATAAAAGAATGTTCGAACAAATTGGCGCAATCTAATTATTGAATGGAACCTATTTAATTATAAAACGTTCAAAGTAACATGTTTCTGTAATAATAATATTGTGTTCAATAGTGTAAAATGTACATAATAAGTGTTGTAAATACGTATTTATTGTATGAATCGGAAATAAAAGCCGAGTTGGCAATAAAAAACATTTTTATTATACGTGTCTTACATCTCTAGCCGCCTACTTCGCGACTCACAGACGAACAAAATTATAATTTAAAATTAATATTTTTATTGTTATAAAGAATCATATGTAGTGTAAGTCGTGAAGGAAACAGCAATATTACGCTTCATTGAACCCTCTCCCTCAGTTCAGCGTTGCTCGAACGCTTCTGGACAATTTTGCAATATATATGAGAGAAAATTAAAATCGATTTTAAACGAAATCGTATCTGTAACATATTAACTTATTAAAATTGAATGGAAAAGAATAGACTGTGTACAACCAAATTATTGGTACAAAAGTGACCTAACTCAAAATTTAAAAAATAAATAAAAATGATACCAATATAAAATTATTTATATAAAGTTTTAAGATGTAGCCTCTAATGGCAAATACATAGCATATTTCATTAAAAACTTACACTTTTGCAAGTGGTAAGTAATAAAAAAAAATTATTCAAAAAACATTCCCAAATGTAAATTTCAGATACGATTACGTTTTATTTTTTAAATTATTTAAGAAAAAAAAATTATCCCCTCCCTGTACTTCTAAATATAATAATGAATAAAAAATTACACACACGTTATTATATTACATATTTTTAATAATATAGCTTGTTTATATTAATAATTGCATCGAATTGTTCAGATTCTTAACACTTAAATAAACTATTCCAACTTATTTACTTCCTTCATAATGAAAACATGAGACAGAAAGTAATATTAATGACAATACTTTTTTATTATATTGAAGCAGTCTTGAGTTATTACGTTAGTCGCTAGCGAGCACGTTACACATTAAATGAACAATGAAAAACAGCTGACGTTACTAACGACGATAGACTTGAGAATATGTTAAGTAAAAATAATCACTCGACACTTGCTAGCGAAAGTGTACTGACAATACTATTGTAGTAAACGTTATGTAGTAACTCAAGACGGATACAGGTTTTTGGAGACGAAACAAGCAAAAATATTTCAATTAATTTTATTTGGAACAACTCACATTAAAACTACTAAATAACATCACATATCTATATTTTCTCTTTCGATATACATTTTAGTCTTAAGTTTTATTTTCAAGCGAATCGAGACAAATTATTTTAGTAATATTTATTCGCCACGTGGACATCACTAGTACAAGCTTATGACGTAATAAAGTAAATAATGTTATATATAATTCAATTTTACACACGTAAAGTTGGAATTATGAAAATAATTAAAGTATTTTTTTTAATATTACAATTAACTACTGTAGATTGTAGATTTTTAATTTATCAATAACTAAACATCGATTGTTTCATATCGATTTTTGAAAAGCCTTAGTTACTGATATCGATTTTATTCGATATATCTAAAACACTGAACTCTAACTATACCGTTAAATTTTTTCATGTAAAAAAAATAATGGCTTTAGAAAAAAATAATCTAAAAAATATTTAAATAGAAAATTATCAGTACCGTTTTTAGATGACATCAAAAAGGGGACTGCTATACTATACTCACTATCGATATAATACTTTCTTAAATTTACGCGAATATTTGACATTTTAAATAAAAGTATCTTTTCGTATTTTTTCGCGAATTTATTTTGATTTTTGGTTCTTGACGTTTCGAATGCTTTACAGCAATCATGGTCACGGGAGAGACTAAGTTTTTAGACGTCTCAGAGTGACAATGATCGCTGTAAAGCATTTGAGACGTCGAAAACCAAAACCAAAAATAAATTTGCGAAAACATGCGAAAAGATAGTTTTATTAAAAATCACTATCGACAGTTAAAAATCTACAATAAGTAGCATGAAATACACGTTTTATTATAATTGTATTATGAAGCATATGTAAATCATTGTCTACCGCTAATTACATTAGATCTATCAGTGTCCCCTTTCTTGTGGAATAAATGAATGATGAATGATGAATGAATGATGAACGATGAGTGAATGATGAATAAAATGAACAATAACCGAATGTAATTTCTATGCTATTTTACTACGTACGTCGATCCTGTTTACTTCTGTGCTTCCTGAAATATAAACATATCCTTGAATTAAATATATGCTATACAATTCAATTATTATTCTTATATTACTATACTAATTTGTACACGCAGCTCTGCTCTGATAAGCTACATCAGTGTCATTTTGTATATTATTATTATTATATATTTCTTGAAGTATGTTTGAATTAGGGTGGAGCGAAAAAAAATTTTTTTTCTTAGCTTGGGAGTAGAATTTGTGGCTTATAATCATCACTCAAAACGCCATATCAAAATGTTGAGTAAAAAAATGTTTTGTTTATTAAAATTTTGTTTTATTATAAGCTACAAATTCTACCCCAAAGCTAAGGAAAAAAAATTTTTTTCGCTCCTCCTTAGTATGTATATATATCTATAGTATATTTATATTGATGTTTGTAGTTTGTACCTACAGAGTACCTTTTTTTTCTTACGCTCCAGGATTTCTGGTAGAGATTTCTTAAAGAGAAAAGCCACCTTTGTACACAAGTTATCTGTTTTCTTTTTTATATGTACATTTTTCTTTGATACATAAATAAATAAAGTATTATATCATACTTGACGACACGTTTGGCTCAATTTGTAGTCACCCTACTTGCTGCGCCAGCGGTCGCGGGTTCGAGTCCCGCTGGTTTTCATTTGTGTGATGCGCACAAATGTTTGTACTCCAGTCATAGGCAAAGTTATATTTATATAATTGTGTAGTGTATCAACTATCTGATATCCATAGCACAAGCCTCGTAGCTTACCATGGAACTAGATGGTTGGTGTGTTAATGTCCCAACATATTTATTTTATACTCATTGCACTAACCTGTGCAGCACAGATCTACATGGAGAGGTACCCGCGCGCGGCGGAGCGGCGGCGGCCCACGAGGTAGGCCACGAGCACGACCACCACGAGCCCGCCCAGCGCGCAGCCCACCGCGATGGGCACCGCGTCCGGCACGTCGTCGCCGCCGCACTCGCGCGCTGACACACGACACCACGTTATTTATATTATATTATAAATAATAATTATTTATTATCTCGCTCATTTAATAAGTAGCGATGCCTAAAAATACCAAAAAAATATGTAGGTATATTAAACTCTCATCACATCTAAAATTTATGTCATATAAAAAATACTCAAAACATTGTTTTTAATAGTTTATAACAGAAAGTTAAGTTTATATATTTGCACACATGCACACACACACGCTAATTTTAATTAGGTACTACATTTTGAAATTTAATTTTAAATATTATATAATTAGATTAGGAAAAATAAATATCTGTTCGTTTTCTTATTTAATCTAATAGGGTCCTAATAGGGTCAAAGATTACTTGAAAGTTAAAAAAGAACCTCAAACACAAACTTTGTCAACACTTTTTGCAAATAAAATATTTTTATTTTATTTTTATTATATTTAAAAAATGTTTAAATTAAAATTAGACAAAAAAAATTAGCAATCATTATTTTTTCTATGGGGCAAAGAAATTCAAAAACGTATTTTGAATTCATTTTTATATAAGACAAAAAAAACTTTTTTTTTTCTTTAGACACAAAAGGAATCCTTATTAAATAATTTAAGCAGAGTTAATTTTAATATCGACCACTGCATCTTTATTTTTTATTAAAATAACCTTTCAAAATGTCTATCGTACTAATCCAACAGATATAAGGAAAATAGTCCCCTTCCAATAACAATTTTCAATTGCATCTAGCAAATACTACACATTTGGTATGACATGAAGGTCAAAAATACCATGATGAAGAGTCAGACGAGTCTAAAGCGTGTATCTCACTATAACTGTAATAGGGAATATACGTGTGATTTAAATAGGTGAAATATTTTTTTAATAATATTTATTGTTTTGGAATTGCTCTTAAATTAATATTTTTTAGTGTAATTTCTTTTTGATTAAAAAAATAATTAATTAAAAAATAATTAATTAAAATATAGGTGGGAAATTCAAAGTAGTTAAAACTTAAGCCATTGGTCAGACCGAATTTATACCGTAGCCGTAACACCGTCAGAGTACTCGTATTATCATAACAGAGCGATTAGTGATTTTGTCACTACAGACTGAAGTTGTCATTTTTAAAAGTTGTTTTTTTTTCCAAAGCGCGCGAAATGGCAGGCGTTTAAAATATCCGTATTGGCATGACACCTTGTCTTGGTGGGGGGGCTCAATAGTGCCCGGCAATCCAACCGGGCGCGAAGCTAAGAAATGCACAGGGAGGTTGCCCACTACGGTGGGCGGTGGGAGGTGGCCCTCTTCGGGGGGTGGTGTACCATGCGGGTTGCTCCTGGTACTTCTCTGATAGCAGAGTGGACCTTGGAGCAACCCCATGGTTGTGGTGGTCTGCTTCGGCAGACCTGCCGTCGGGGCGTCGTAGTTGAATGCGTAAGCGATCCTGCGACGCCCCATTAAGACGGGGGAAGGTTTTGTTGGGTTTTAGTGGGTAGTACTGGCTGTATTACGCCGGTGAGTCCCACACGTCGTGCGTAAATGCATTTCCCAACGTTAAAAAAAAAAGGCTATTCTATAAAAAAAAAAATAAAAAAAAAATCACACATATTTCCTATTATTCAGTGTAAAATGAATACTTCTAATAATTTATAGTCGCCACTCGTGATCGCGCACTCGTATCTGTTACGATACGCGCCCAAGGTCAAATAAACACTTGGTATTGATAAATAAACAAATACTGCCGTTGCAATTTACAAGACTAGGGCCTTGTATCACGTTAATAATTTAAACTAAACGTTAAGTTGAATCAAGTTATATATACATTTAGGTGGGTAAAAATTTCTAGATAAAAATTTTGAAGTACCCGCATTTTTTTTAATACTTTGTAGCTGTCCGATTTAAAACGATACCTTCGTAAAATTATTGTTTTTTCAGAAAGAAAATTTTAGGTGCGAGACTTATATTTTGAAATCGTTTAGCGAGCTCATTACCACTACCACTACTAAGTATAAAATAATGTTAAATAATACTATATTTCAAATTTTAAATAAAACTATATTTTCGGATCTTTTAAGATTTTTGATTCCCTACATTTCGAATGCATTTACAGCAATCATGATCACGAGAGATACTAAGGTCTAACAAAATAAATCCGCGAAAAAAAAAAAACCGTAAATATTTCGTGTAAATCTAAAAAAAGTATTTAATATAATTCTAGTTTATCATTTTCTACTGAACTGATTTAAAAATTATTTAAAGAATATTTATGTGTAAAAGCCCATAAGCTGTCATGACTAACAAACAGTCATTATAGAGCCGTTATCGGAACAGACGCGGTGATAAGCAAACGCCAATTGTTATCGTTTACATTTTAACATGAGTTGTTTTAAATAATAATTATGACATTTTAATAGATTGGCTATTACAACCTATTTGTTTACAATATCACCATATTTGGGGACATTGATTAGGTACTAATGACTGCTGCTAGGTCAAAAGTTTTAGAAGTTGAAACTTGTTTTTTTTTAAGTTTGGAAACGGAATGCTTTAGATTTGAGAAGAACAAGTGAATAAAATTCTAAATAAAAGCTTACATTAGAAATAAGTCATATTTATACATTATATGAAAAAAATAAGTGATTCTGTTAAAATATCATTATAATTTTAATAAAACTGTACTAGCCGACTTTATAAAACTGGTCACTTTGTTAGAAATATCTAATATCTGGGTATCGAGGAACATAATTATTATATTATTAATATAAATTATAAATACATATTATATAAAAAGTTTTTATAGTTTGTAATAGAATTAAAACCGAAATGTCTTCGAACTTTAGCTCTAAATTTTGGTTTCTAAAAGACAATGGTCTAAAGTCAACAAGAAGTAAAATTCAGTGAAATATAAACAAAATGTAATTTTTTATATATTTCTTGCTAATATTTGTGTCTGTTTGTTGAAATTAACATTGGAGATATGTGCACGTAATTTTACTAGTTTACTCGCTGATATTAGAATTAGATTAGACGCTAACAATTTTAGAGTTTGGTTATTTTAAATACAGCTTTAAGCGCACAAACCGCAATCATAAACTTTAAATATTTAAAAAAAACATGATATACAAATAAAATAAAAAAAAACAATAATAAATATCCTTAAATATATCAGTTCTAATGAGCGACAATATTTCAAAATTTACTATAAAAAACATACCTAATCTTAAAAAAATACTTCTACGAATGAAACTATTCAATTGTTTTAATTTATTCGATGGAAAATATTTATTAAATTCGGAACACTAATTTTCCAACCAATGAAATAAGTAAAACCTATCACTCACCAGCGCTGAAGGTCTTAGTGGGGGTGGTTCTGAAGGCCTCCTCCTGCAGTTGCGAGAGTGTGATGTTGGCCGCCACACTCGTCTCAGATCCAAGTTTCAGGAGTGTGGGTGCTCCACATCTGTATGATGTGGCCAGCGATGTCCTCCAAGCTTCGCCATAGACAAATGTCACGGGCGCTTTGGATGCTGGAAGATTATAATTGATCCTTACTTTTAATTATGTAGAGTTACGGACATTTTAACTATATTATTTATGTCTCGAAAGTGTTAGAAGGAAATAAGCTTTAAATTAAAGATATATATATATATATATATATCCTAATCGAATTTACTCCATAACGCATATATGTATACTAGTGGTGTAACGAATGTTCGATTTTTCACAATCCGATATTCGCGAATGCGAATGTTTACTTTCAAATAAAGCGCGCGCAAAATTTTAAACAGACAGGTGTGATATTTCGTGTCGGCCATTTAACACCTCCAGGTAAATTTCTAAGAAATTAATTAAAATTCTAAGGAATCTATTGTTAACTCACACGCCGGCGTGTCCGCGGTGGTGGAGGGATTAAACCGAACATAATCGATACAGGTTGAATGAACGAAATTAATCAAGTTCATTCGAAAAGATTTGTTGTGATTTGAGGTTAGTTTAGTATTATTGCATTTGTCAAACTTAACCGATACCTTTTCAAAAGTGACATAGTAATATAAAAATATGAGTAAAGCACGGTTGTACTATCATCCCATATCTATCAATTCCGTATATTATTTGCAATTTTTTGTCAAATACATTCACCAGACAATCGCATCGTTTCTCGCGAATACGAATGCGAATGTCAATAAATATGCGAATATTCGCGAATGCGAATATTTGTTGCATCACTAATATACACACAAATAAGCAAAGCTACATTCTTACCTACTAAACCGTTTAAATATATATATATATATATATATATATATATATATATATATATATATATATATGAATCATCTTAATAAATATTCATCACATACAACAATATTCTTTTAACCCAATTCTAAATCTTTTCCATTTACTCAATTAGAAAGTATAAAGTGACTAAACAAAGTAAAGAAAAAACTTCCCACGATTATGAAACGTCAAATTGTATAACAGTCGTCTGTCTCACGTCGCTGTTTCATGTTACAAATTCATTTAAAACACTTGCTAGATTGTCAGAGTGTAAATACTATGTATATAGTACACCTGAATCGATGTTCGTAGACGTCTCGAATTACTAAACTCTATTGGACTGCGGTAAAGCCATATCCATATGCGAAGATATATCACTTTTTTTTTAATTCTTTCATGCTGCTAGTTAGTGATGAGAAAAAAAAGCCAAAATAGATAAAAAGAAATACATATACAAAAAGGTATAAGTTCTGATTAACAAATCATTGCGATTTGTTAATCAGCGTCTCCTTACTTTAACGGACAGTCCAAAATATAATAATCAAGTCAATATAATTAAAATTTGGTTAAAACAAGTGTTTGCCTCAACACGGAGTTGAACCTACTACTTTTTACGTAAAAAGTGACCTCTGTATACCCTATAATATTACAAGCTGGGTGGGCTACGGTAATAAAATAGTATCAATTTATTAATCTAAATCGTAGGTCGATGATCGCGTAACAATTGATTTTGACAGTGAGCGGCATTGCGACTGCAGCACGCAACATTTCCTCGACGCGACGATTAGAAAAATTATCTAATATAAAAATATATCGTGTCGCGGTGTTTATGGTCGCACTCCTCCGAAACGGCTCGACCGATTTTAATGATATTTTTTTGTATATTTGATAGGTATGAGAATAAATGTCGTATAGTATCTTTCATCCTCAAACCCCCCACCCCCCATTTTAAAATGGCGATTTTAATATTTTTGTATGAACCATTATAAATATAAATACATAGCGATGCGATGGTGATTCGCTGTTTAACATAAAACCAAATAGTTTTTTTTTTTGTAGATATAACGCGGGCGTAATCGTGGGTTCTGCTAGTATATTTAAAATCTAATGTTGTAATATCCATATACTGTTAACTGACGATCCTGACACTGCGATATAGTCTAATTAGTAAAAAAAGTAGTTCGTAAAAACTTCCGTTGCAGCAAATAAATGTGTTGAAACAAAAGAATGAAAAATGATACCATGTTATACAACACAATAATACACCGAGTTATTAACACGTCATGGATGTAAAAAAAAACCATCGCCGCTCTAAAGCCTCCTAGCGCCCTCTAGTCTTACAAGCGATACGATGAGGACCGAGAGATATTTCTCTGCCATCTCTGTCGCACACTTAGTTAAAGTGCTATGTATCATGTATGTATGTATTCGTTCTTGTGTATCGAAGGTTTCGTACCACCACACACACACACAATATCAAATTCTTATAATCATTAGTAGTTAAAGGTGCTAGTGCAAATACGTCTCATATATAATACTTTGCCTCATCTGTTACAGATAAATAAAACTGAAGTGTCTGTTTGTAATGTCAAAATAACAGCTTTTTACTATATGCATATGAAATTATATACGGTACGCACAATTTTTAGAATTTTTGTCTATCTATCTGTCTGTTTGTTCCGGCTAACCTTCGAAGTGGCTGGACTGATATTAACAGGACTTTCACTGGCAGATAGCTGATGTTATAAGGAATAACTTAGGCTACTTTAATTTTAGAAAAAGGATTAGGATTTTGTTAAAAAAAATTAAAACGCACTTAGGGACACTTGAGTCGCTAGTTTATTTAATGTTTGTATAGTATTACTATTTTTGAAAAGAACCTTAAAATTTTCTAGTGGACCCTCGCTACTTATTGGCGTTTTTTTTTAATCTTTCATGCAAGCATAAGCATTTATCTCAAAATTGAAAATATATATAAAAAAGTCTTTGCTATTGCAAAGACTACCTCGGATACATCCTAAATTTAAATATTACTTACTTGTGTTAGGCAACGCGGCAGGGTCCAACGTGATGGTAATATTCTTCAGTTCATACGTCTTTGTAGTGGTGTTTGCTTCGAAGACGAACTGCATGTTGTTCATGGAGGCGTTGGTAGCATTGCTGGCGGGCCACGCGAGCCGGATCCACTGTTCTGTCTTATCACACTCGCCGTCGAGCACCGATGCGTTGTTCGGCACGTTGATCAGAACATCAGCCAGAGAAGTCGCTGTAAAGAATTAAGATGATATAAGTAAGGATATAATTACAAGTATGCAATAATCTACACTAATATATATATATATATATATATATATATATATATATATCTACACTAATATTTTAAGAGGAAAGATTTGTATTTTTGTATATTTGTAACGAATAAACTCAAAAACTAGTGGACCGATTTAGATGAAATTTGGTAAGAAGATAGTTTGAGACCCTGGGAAGAACATAGGATATTTTTTTTATTCCAAAAATCATCTCTCAATGACGTGAAAATGCGGATGAAAGTTTGTATGGGGAATTAACCCAGGGACGAACCCGAGCGAAGCGAGGTTCAGTCGCTAATCTTTATATAATATGTATGTGAAAAGTGGTACAACTTGCTTTTTTTGTCACTGAAGAATATTATCATCTGCCATCCATAAATTTTTTACCATAAGTACGCTCATATAAGCCAAAATAGGGATCAATTTCGGAATTAAATGTCTAAAAAATTATATTTTATAGCTATAGGTACTATACAAATTTTTAATCTATTGCCTCTCATTACGAGTTTAAACCCCTAACGTGACATACTACGTTCCTTCTTATCCCCTTGGAAGAACGGTTTTAAAACAATCGTTTCTTATCCTTCGAAGGTTGTTATGTAGTTACCGGACGTTTTTAAAACTTCAGATCCCCCAGATCCGGCGATTTGACCTGGCAGAGGGTGAACTGGTTAAGGCAAGCAATTTTATACATATCATATAATAATACTTAGTAAGGATGTGTCCAATCATAATTCTGCAATAATCTTTATATAAAACATACTAGTAGCGTGTCCCAGCTTTTTATTTGGGCAGAAGAAATATTATTTTTATACATATTTTACCCCTCTTATTTAGGGGGTAGCATTCAACGATTTGGTCTGGTCGATAACTAATAGCGCTATACAGCCAGTACTTAACAACACAATGTGGATTCTTGAAAAAAAATATTAAAATAATACAACACAAAAACGTCCCATTCCAAGGTGAATAAAATTGAAAGTGGTTCATTTTAAAAGTATCAAAACTTACTTTTTTACTGGTGTAATACTATTGCAGTTTTCTGTTACCAGCCTAACCTCGACCTTGAGATTATACGAATTATTGTATGTATAATAATTTTAAAATGGCTCAGTAAAATTATAGAATATACTGTTACTAATGTATCGCTTCCGTAATATTCCGATAACTGTAATTGAGTAGCTTCATTTTCTACAAAACTTCACAACAAACCTTTTTTAAATACTTTTCGCCCAGTGTTCTAAATTTGACCATAATCGGTATTGAAAATTTGTACCAAACACATAATATGAATAGAATTTACCTATCTATATTAAAAAAAAAATCCAATTTTTTTTCACTGACAACACTAAAGTTTGTTAATAGATACTAAACAAAAGACAAAAAGGCTCTAAACTGTTTTGTCTTTGCCTATTTATATATAGATTACGACTGCCACCATAATTTTATATAAATAGGTTCATCGCTGCGACCATGTTCTGAGTCACAGTCAGCTGGTCGTATGGGCTCTAAGACTTGATAAACTAGTTCTACATTTTTTGTAACATTTCTTATAACATCTTATAACGAAATAAGCAATTTTAATTAAAAATAACTTTAAATAATTTTGTACTAACTCCGCCACTTTGATTAGGTCTTACGTTTTTAAAAATCAATGTACATCAATGGGGGATAAGGTATGTCCCTATTAAAGTAAAATCTTTGCTTTCCACTTACATTCTCATTTCTCACAACATTTATTTTAATACTAGCTTTTGCCCGAGACATCGCCTGTTTTTTTTATGTAGCGTAATGTTAGATAGCCTATATCCATTTGTCAATATCATTCTCAAGGCTGAAAAATAAGATGCTGGTCCAGAGATTAGTGAGTTCAACAAAGTCTACAGCTATATAAATTAGTACATATCTATACATATAATAAAACTGTAGAGGTCAAATGTCTGTCTGTACATCGAAAAAAATGCTTAAAACCGAGTTAGGGGGATGTAAGAAGAGAAATAGAACAAATCCAGTTTTTTTTTATTTTTTTTTGTTTCTCTGTCTGTTTGTCTGTTTGTATGAGCTAATCTCCGAAACTGTTGGACCGATTTAAATGAAATTTTGCATGGTGGTACCTTATATCCTCGGGAAACATTTTAAATACTTTTCTTCTCGGAAAATTAGAGTTCCCGTGGGATAGTTAAAACTATAGCTTAGTACACAAAAACTATTTGTTTTGGATTTTAATGAAACTTTACAATAATATAGTTCATACATCAGAATAACAAATAGAAATGTACGGTTCCCGTGGGATAGATTTGATATTGTTTATCTAGAGACGAACCCCATCGAAGCGAGGGTGAGCCGCTAATATTAATTTAAATTCATAAAAAATTATATAAGTAGATACATTTATGTAGAGGTATATGGAAAATTTCTGCACATTTAGGCTTCGGCATCGCTAATGTCAACAACACTTGAACGAATACAGGTACATCGTGTATCAATACAAATAACTGTCCACACGAGGCGTGTCACATGACTCATAACTGATCTGCTTACCAACTATCGCATGCATATTCCACTATCTATAAGCGCGAAATGTAAACTGAACCGAGAGCGCATGAGAGTTGTAATGTAAGATAACTTAAACCTAATATGTTAACCTAATATGGTTAGACACAATTAGAGAAACACTTTCTAGGCCTAGATGAAATTATAGATGGGTGCACCCAGGAGGAAAACAAATGCTGCAGTATTTTACAGCTGCAGGGTTCAGCGGTGAAATTCAACGCAACCAGAGCCAATCACAATAGACTAGGCATCGTCGCAGTGAGACATAGCCGCAGCAAAGAAATAAAAAAATAGACAAATATGACGACCTCCATCATGTTTGTGATGACTTCTTAGAAGCCGTGATATATAAGATAACAGGATTAACTATATAATGCAAGTCGCTAATACGACGAAGGAAAACATCGTTAGAAAACCTGCATGTCTGAGAAAAGTTATATAGTTTTTGAAGTCCGCCAGCCCGCATTTGTCCTCTCCCTCGCATTGAGGACGAGAGGCTTCGCCTCTCAGGCCCAGCGACGGTACAAAAAAAACGGAATTATTATCATTTTATGATAACAATAATTATAAATATATGTTTTGTGAGTTTAAGGATTTGAGTGAGAGTGATAACTTCATATCATGAGAACAGAGAAAAGGTTTCTGCTAGATTGTATACATATGTTCTACAATGTATGAAAGTTCATATAATTTCATCGATTTTCAAACTTTTCTTGGCAGCTAATAGATTTATCTCGCAGACGAAATCTAATTCTAATTAAGAAATTTAACTTTATTATACCAATATTTTATAAAATAATATTATTTTAAAATGAACTTTGACATAAAAATTAAAATATGAGAAAATTAATGTTATACCAAACCTCTAAAATAAATCATCGTTTTGTCTGTTCATATAGATTATATATATTCGTATGACTATTATTAGGAGTTATCCATTGTCACACCATTGTCTAAGCAACTTATTGTTCAGCTTAATTTCTGCCATAAACTAAACATTGCCAAATTATTTTCAGTTAAACTTCAAATGTTGTTGTTCCCCGAATAATTCTATCCCATTTATTGTACGTCAATGCTATGTTAAAGGTTTTAAACTCAATGAAAATATACAACGCGAATCCGTAATCAGAAACTGTTATAAAATATCTTATTCACTAGCGAACAAAAACAAATCTATCCCACGGGAACCGTACATTTTTCCGGTACAAAAGTACCCGATGTGCTATTCCAGAGTATAATCTATCTCAGTGCTAAATTTCATCCAAAATCGTTCAGCCGTTCTGGCGTGATTGAGTAACAAACATCCATCTAAACTTTTACATTTATAATATCAGTAAGATAAATAGTCGTTGGCAAAAAAGGGGTATACACTACACAGGTCACACGTAATCTTATAAAAAGAAACTGGAAGCCTTCGCTTGATTCATTCGGGTTTTTGTATATTTTCAAGGTGTAATATTTTTTCACAAGAGATCTTGGTCGAAGTCAATAAAAGTTAAAAAAAAATACACGGAAAGGCTTCAACAGATTTCTGTAGATATTTCTTTATTTACGATCAACGGTATAGTCCGCGGTCGGCTTGAATACTGTTCTCTCACATGGTCACCTTACAAAAAAAATCACACTAGACTGAGATTTATGCAAAAGCGTTTGTTGCGGCAACTATCATATAGGTTTAAATTAAAATTAAACAGCTACGATGAAAGACTTATGGCCGATTTCACCAACGTCACCTAAGTTTCTGTTTAAGGGATCCCCTAGGCATGGTTAGGGGGATGTTAGGGGACAGTTTCTGTTTCACCGACAGTTAGGGGTCACCTTAATGTTAAAATGCCACCTAAATATAGGTACTAGAAATACGGGCTCTAACGATGATAAACGAAATTTAATTTAGGGGCTAGTTTAGGGGAACTTTTAAGCTTGGCATCCCATACGTAGATGGTAGCTTAAGTAATGTTGGTGAAATCGGGCATTAAACATTTTAATATTAATAGCCTTCAAAATCGACAACAGTTGAACATAAAAAAAACGTAGAAAATCAAAGGCTCTAGAAAACTTTTTATTTTATATCATACATATATTAAAGCCTAACACAAAAAAAAATAAACAAAATGCAGGTAACTGTAAAACGAAATTTTAAGAACGTTATATTTAGTTTTAACAATTAAGGAAGGCGATTATGACACAAAGTGCACTCAGCTTTGGTCTCTCATTAACATGACCTAGATATGTCGCGTAAGACGTCTGAAGCAACTATTATGAAGGAACTGAAGAACTCGGCAACTTTCAAACGTTTTAAACATTCAAACCTTTAAAAAATGACCCGAAACATTGATAGTTATTTGTAAGTTCACTAAGAAATAATTGGACCCAGTTATGCAAAAAACAGCCATGTGCGTAAAAG